ACCCACTGTCCCAGGATTTGACCAAAAACAGGACCAAAACGAAGTGGCTGCGACGAGCAATTCTTGTTGGATTTTTGACACCCACCAGAGACACCCACCAGAAACGAGTTTCTTGCTTGCTAAGCATGCCTTATGCTGAGGAAGACCTGGAAAAAAACAGAAAAAACTGCAGGGCCTCGTCACAAAGTCTCTCATTTTTATAAACATACCTGGTTATTTAACATAGCCATGGAAAATCACCATCTTTAATAGCTAAACATAGCCAAACCATCTATTTCTATGGGCCATGGCTTCCATGGCTATGGTAGTCATAACCACAGGGTATCTCAACTATCTTAGTTTCAACTGTGATTTGATCCCAGCAATCCCTGCCATTGCCATGGCCTCCATGGGCGTTTCCAGTTCTGGAAGCAACGGAGGCGGCTTTGGCACTTCCTTGGGCGCCTCAAAAAGGCAACACGGCAACATCGCCCAATGATTTCGCCAGTGCCGCTTTTCATGCCACAAAAACATGGTGCCAATCCAAAACAAGTCCGGTACCCCAAAAAAAACCATGGCCACATTCGGTGACGCATCCCACCTTGGATGACGTGCGACTGGCCGGTGCCGCAGCCGACAGGTCGGGCGGAGCAGGCTCGAGCGGCCTTTCAAGGCCTGACATATTGGGATCCAGTTGCAATCGAGTTGGAATAGTCCAGCTTACGATATCGAATTGGATTGTTCAAAACATTGATGATGTGGAAGAAAAAAACTATCTGAACGTGCTTTCAGATTCGGCCTCTTGGAAAAGTGTCGGACAGTCACTTGGGAGTGTCAAGTTTTCTGCTGCAAGATCGGGTTGTACAACTATAACCAATAGAAATGGCGAAATAGCCAGGAAGAAGTCATGCTTTGGCTGAGAACAAAAACAGGGGACAGGCCATCCCTAAGTCAAATGGACACGACTCGTAAAACGAGTCTGCGTTGGTCTGAGTCTTGTTGTTGCCATCTGGTTGGTGGTTGAGCCCTACCCCTCTGAAGAATCATGGAGTGAGTTCGTCAGTTGGGATGATGACATTCCATTCCCAATATATGGACAGTCATTAAAAAATGTTCCAGTCACCACCAACCAGAATATCATATAATATCTGTAACCTCTTGGTGAGCTCCGATGTGCCCCAAATTACGGGGTGCCACAAATCTTGCTTCGCATATTCAAAAAATCATCATTTTCCCAATCAAGATTGTCATTGTTTCGCAATGTTCACAAGCGGCCTTTCGTCATGCCATGTATATCATGTATATCATGTTTTTGTCATCCTGATTAAGAACGGGATTCCCAGATCATGGCTGGTGACCATCCCAATATATTTGATAGTATAGGAAAAATGATAGTCATGGCTGGCTGATTTCCACAATCCTATCACCTATGGTCAGGTCCAATGGGGTCGCAATTTTTATCACCAGGATACATAAATCACTATACGTATAGATAGCCACTAAAAGCAATGAAGAGTAAAATCCAATTCTTGTACATGGTAAAATATGGTTCTACCTTTTTCAATAGATACGTGATCGAAAATCCACCATTTACTTCGATCATCTTCTCATTTAAATGCCCATTTAGGATGTCCCATTGCCACGTTAGGGAGCATATGAGTGTGCCTGGCAAGTTTGCTAGGGATAGTGATGATGAACCAGTGACTTAGTTTCGATGTACCTGACCATCTTTTCAGACAGACCTCCCTATAATCAACATGATAATAATCATTAAATCATTAGATCACCATTAGATCACCATTTTCAGTGTATACCAACAAGTGACTTTCCTTACTGATAAAAAAAGAGTACCAACAAAAGTCTTCATGGTATATGCTATGATTCTGGTACTTATCAGTGATGATGGTACTTATCCAATAGCTGAAAAACAGCATAAGTACCATGTGCTTTTCTATACCTAAAATGCTGGTACCCCTGTTCATCATCAATGTTAAACATGGGATTTTCCATTAATTATAGCTGATTGGTGGTTGACCTACCCCTCTGAAAAATATGACTTCGTCAGTTGGGGTTACTATTCCCAATATGATGGGAAAATAACATTCATGTTCCAAACCACCAATCAGTGGTTATTAACCATTATTAACCATCATTAACCATCATTAACCATCATTAACCATCATTATCCCATACTAAACCAATGTTCCAGTCACCACCAACCAGATAAACCATCCAGCGGGTTACCGGGGTACCCCCCATGGACTCGGAAACCACCACCTCTGGAGCTTTTGGAGCTCATCGGCGAGCCACTGGAGCCACTCGAGCCGTGCTGCGTGGACACTTCCTGGGTGAAGTCGACTGGAGATTGGGCCATGAAAGGGCCACTAATTAATGGGGGAAATGATGGGAAATGGATGATAAACCATGATAAACCATGATAAACCATGATAATCCATGATAAACCATGATAAACCATGATAAACCATGATAAACCATGATAAACCACAGGAATTGGCGAATGTTCCCAACTTTTTGAAGTACCAAGCCCAAGATGTGGGCCTAGAAAGGGGGGCCGGTATCGGCCGGTATCCAGCACCCTGGGATTCCAAACCTCAGCGCCTTGAAGGAAACCATAAAACCCGCATGCAAATGGCTATTTGTTGATCTATAATTTATAAATGCTATAAACAGCCATATAAAAGATTAACAAAAGATGGATAGTTTATAATATTACCATAATTACCCATGCAATGGTTATATGATGTAAAAAATGTTGATCTATAAATAGCCACTGATCTATAAATGCTAAATATAAGTGTTCTCCAAAATTTTCCAGTGCTTTGTGAAATCCGTTTTTATTGGGCAGTCTCTTGTAGATTACAGCTGATTTTTTGCGAAATGCCCGGGTGTTTGGGGGCTGACCCAGTCTCCGCCGAGCCGCAGATGCACTGGGCGACGCGCGTGGTTTCACAGGGCGAGTCTCCTCGCTTCCATCGTCCTGCCAGGGCCATGGCCGCCCAGGTATGGCATTTCACCATGGGAAGGGGCAAAATTTGGGGACCCAAACATGGAAAAAAAGGGGTGATACAAAGAAACGATACTGTCAAACATGACCATCGTTTTTGTATCACTATTGTGGTTTTGTATCACTACCATGCTCGAAATATAGTATTGCCAAAAATTATATTTGTGGGTTTTGGCTGTTTTTGGTGTCTCCAATACCATGGGACCATCTTTGGAGGGATCTGGGAAGAATTTCAGCGTCAGCTGGTTGCGAATTGGTTCTACTGGTGTGTTGATCGCTATTTGGCTATTCCAATAGTAGATTGTAATGATCCCTTTTCAATAGCCGACTTTTTCCCAATAAACCAATGGATTCTTGACACTGCTTATGTATGAATGGATATGGGTACCCATATGAAGTTCTGACCCATAGGCCCCCAGGTCACGATGAGAAACCGAGAAAAAGAGGGGCATAACATGGAATAACCTCATCAAAACTGGTGACACCTAGGAGACCTGGAAGACCTGGGAGACACCTGGGTTTTATCATCCCAATCAATAGTACATATGATCAATGGATATCAATTTTCAGGAACCGATTGATTGGAGGTACCTACCATATATAACGGCCTTATATGCTACAGTACCTCCATTTTAGGATCCTGAAATTCCATGAAATTCCCATTGATATTATTACCCTTTGGTTATTTAACACAGCTATGGGACATAGATGACCCATTTATAGATGAGAAAAATGATGATTGGCCGAGGCTACGTTAAACAACCCGAGGGTAGTACCAATGATGACACTCATCCGATGGCAGCCTGGATCTTCAATGGTTTAGATCCTAAAATGATCTTGGCACACGGCTAGCCAAAAAATTCGAGGCAAATACCCATGTTCACAAGACTTGTTGATTTTGTTCTGAGGGGTCGGGAATCTAAACAACCGTTGTTGGTTCAAGTTGGTTCAAGTTGGTTCAAGTTGGTTCAAGTTGGTTCAAGTTGGTTCAAGTTGGTTCAAGTGTGTATCATCTCATACCTCTCCTTCATTCCCCATCCCTTTGAGTCCCATGCCTGCGACGGACAATGTTGGATTCTGGAGGGCGACACAGGTGACGAGGGTCGGTCCTTGGTATCGGTCGTAGCCCCCTCCGGGAGCCAACCATAGCTACCCCCAATAGCTGGATGGTTTCTGATCAAAAACCATTGAGAAAAACCATTGAAATATAGGAAAGCATCCAAAAAAAAGATGGAGATCCCCTGCGTTCCGCTATTCGGAGGTGCAGGAGTCAGTTTCTCTCGCGGTTTTGCTGTCTGAACCATCCGTTTTTGCCGTTGCCACCATCACATAGGGATGGCATATAGGTATGAAATGGATTTGAATTGGATGGTGCAGCCGCCACTCTCACCATCCTGTCTGCAGTGACTGAATCTGTCGAGATCTGTTCCGAACTCAGCCACCCAGTCAAACCGCAGAAGCTTCACATTTCCCATCTGTACACCATCATTTCATATCATTTCCCCATGCCCAAGATGTGTTTCAACATGTTTCCCATCATGTAACATCCATCAAGATGAAGTACCACCCGAAACCCAAAATGATGCCAACTTTCCACCGCTTCCAGATGCAATCCGTCGGTGCTGTTTTTAAGGATGATCTCCAAGGTACAATCCGCGGCGCCGCCGCGATTTTGCGCAATGTCTCCGAGTTCTCTAAGTCCTGTTGGACCAGGACTGGAGAACGATCGAATCCAAGGCTTGGACATGAAATGACACCATTTCTCCAAAAAAAAACACACACTTTGGATTATGATAAATGGATATAAATGGATTGGTTAAGCAAATATTGCAGCCTATGTGAGTTCGGGTCTTCTCGACCAACAAAAAAGATCGACAGGCCCCCTTTTGATCTAGGTATTCCTAGTCCCAAAGCATCCTCAAAGACGATCCAACAGCATCGTTGCAATCAAACGAGAACACCCTGGCGATTTTTCAACTGGACCCCTGGCTCCCCTTCAGTCGCTGGAGGTCTGCCCCAATTTCAGGCCCGGGCTGAAGCCGAAAGTCACAGCAGTTTCTTGGAATCCACCGAAAGTTCCACCGGGAAAACTGGGATATTTGGGGACAGAGGGATGGTGTCCCCACATGAAAAACGTTGAAAAACTGCCAAACGGCCTGGTTCTTCAAAGGGGATTACCATGATATTACCATGATATTACCATGATATTTCATGGATGTTTTTTGGGTAGTATATGGGTAGTACCCTGAAATTCATCATTCACCAACAGTTTTAAGAACAGTTTTGAACTCCCCAGCTTGCTCGAGATCTGTCGTTTCTCGCATTCCGCCAGCAGCTCAGTGACCGCTTTTCGCGGGGTGGGTGCCTGCGGATTGGATGAGACCTGGAGTGGCTCATAGGCTGGAAAACCCGTGGTTTTTCACCCAAACTGGCCGGGAATTATGGATGTTCTATGCATGTTAAACCCAAGCGAAATGTGGATGGACCAATCACTTAAGTGCTTGGTGAAGGCTCGCCACTGCGAAAAATGGAGATCATCATCGCAGTGAAAAACGGATGGAAAATGAAAAAAAATGTCAAACCACCAACCAAATAGTTCATAATAGTTCTATATTCCAACATTTTTACGGATGGAACTGATCATTTCTATAGCTCTGGGTCAAAGATGTCAAAGGTCTGGTACGCTGGTGAAACTCAAAATAGCTGGGATGTGTGGATGCCTCTCCCCCAAACAGGCTAACATTACGGTTTGACCTATCCCCAGATTATCATTTTCTAGCTCTGGGTTTGTCTGAAAATAGTTAGTATACACCCCATTTATGCTTTATCTTAATGGGTAAGATGATGATGATGAACCACTTGATGTTGATTTTTCCGAAGAAAAAAAAGCTTCAGATAAAGCCTTCTACTTCGCATCCAATGACTACTGAATCCATTGGCTTTACTACATGGAATGATGATTTTGAGTAAGCTCCAAGTAGCCTCAAAAATCAAACATCAGGCTGGAAATTCCACCAGTTGGATGTTTTTTCTCCATGAACACACCTCCAAAAAAAGTTTGCCATGATGACACCAAAGGGTATCTCAAAGGAAAAGGGGTCATATGTTGGTGTCCACATATCTGTCCCAACGCTTGATTGTGCCCTCGATTCGAAAAAATCGATAAAATGAGTCTCATTCTCCTGGTTGCTCAGCTATTTACAGCTACTTACAGCTGCTTGTTTTGGTTTGTCAAGCTGATCTATCAGGGGTTTCAATCCGTCCGAATCAACCATTGGTTTCCTGGCCCATGCCGCTCCGGCTGCCATGGGCAGACCCAGCGACACCTCCGTGCTTTCGGGCCTGACATGTCCAGTTCATCGAGCAGGATTCTTCAATGCAAAGAAATGACCATTCAACCAGAAAGTGACCGACTCAACTATAGTTGAAGGTCCGAAATTTGGAAAAGCGATTCTTTCCTGGCCTGTGAGTCTGACATAGCTTGCCATTCAGAAAAAAATGGATCTTTAATGACAAAGGGCGTCCAAACAGGACCGATACTTGCCACTATCACAATAATCATGGCAGAAATGATCATTGTGGTCCCTATTTTTTGGGGGGGGAGGGGATACCAACTTGCTTGGCTCGCATATTCTTTATCTTCAACAGAGAATTCCGGGGGGAAAAAAAAGAAGCAGATCAAGTTGCTGCTTGATATGGCATCTTCCCTGTGGTACCAGTACAGCGTAGTACAACCACTAGTACAGCCTGTGCCTTCCCGGAGTTTTGTCAGGTCTCCACATGGATCTGATTCATCTCAGGGCAACGTAAGAAAGCATCACCAAGAATCCAACAAGATTCAGTATCCATTAGGAGTTACAGAGTAAGCCACCCATCACAGTGGCCGAAAAAAATCCATCCCGGCCTCACATCCACCTTCACCTGTGCTCAGATCATGACCATGGAGCCACTCAAAATGCAGTCTGATACAGTAGTTGATTCCACTGCTGCAAGCAGCCTCAACAAAAAGTACTGGATCTGTAAGGGCACAACAAGTCCATTTGGATTGAACATGGTTGGAACCACAAGGCTTTCCATTTCACCTTTTTGTACCTCGCCTTTCGGCGTCCACTGCGTCCACTGCGTCCACAGAGGCATGCCAGGCAGCAACATCCCAAGCCCAAGAGGGAGCCCAGAATGGATGGCAGCAGGATGGATCCATCCGCCGTGCCTGACATGTCAGGGATGGATCCATCCGGTGGACCTGGCTGGTTTTTTTTTGGGAACCAACAATTCACCGTTTTTTTTTTGGAACTTACGCCACCCTCCAACTAGATCTAACTGATCTGATCCAACTAACATGACGACCCTGCCTACAAAAGGGGGGTTGGAAGTTCCGAATTTTGGCATTGGCTATGTTCAAGGTCTATGTTGGCTCGGTGGATGGTAAGACTCCATGGTTTCTTGAACGAAGCGAATGCAGAGCTCAAGGCACCCCGAGCCACGTGGCGAAGTGATGATGACCATCCTTTAGAATGTAGACGCCACAATGGATTGTGATCATCCCATATTGGATAGTACTATTATAGCTGGTTGGTGGTTGAGCCTACCCCCCTGAAAAATATGAAAGAGTTCGTCAGATTGGATCATCCCAACGGCGTTGGGGAAGTCAATCCAAATTCCATGGTTTGAAACCACCAACCAGATAGTAGAATTTACAGTATAAACACATATAAACCCATATAATCATCAACCAAAAGGAGTTTAACAACTGCTCACATTGTCACATGGCCCGAAAGGTCGTCATTGGAACGCTCCACCAGGTCACCAGGGCCATCCCCAGCCACATGGCGCGGGGTCAAAGTCACCTCACCACCGGCGGCACCCCTTGTTTCGTAAGGGGAAAAGGATGACTCACCAGCAGATTTGGGGGTAACCTCTGGTAATCAGACATGGTTTGCTGGAAAAACAAGCCTATTTACTTATTTACTTCCATGATTTTCACATATGTTCATGCTCATTCACTTCAGGGCCATGTTTGATGATACCGGGGCGGTACGTTATTTTTGGACAAACTCAGATAGCGGGAAGGTCAGCATAGGTCATCTCCAAAATTGACCAGCAGAGGGCTTCAGCATAGCCATGGAAAATCACCATTTTTAATAGGTAAACCCAGGTAAACCATCTAAAAATGGGCCATTTTCCATGGCTATGTTAAATAACCAGATGGTAGGGGCACTGGTAGACTATGCTAGACTATGGTAGACTGGTAGCTTACTTGGAGTTTCATCCCATTTTGTGAGTGGTTGGTCTGACTGTCGGCTTAGTTCACCTATCAATGGGGAGAACCTGCCTTGGGATGATCCATCCCTAGTACCCGATATCAGGATATGTAAAGATGATTTTCTCATCACCAAACCTCCATTGATCATATTTATATATCTTGGAGTTTCCCCTGTTTTCCCATGAACAAACCTCCATTTACATTGGATTTTCCGACATTTTCCCATGAAAATCAGCCACCTTTGATGATCCAAGTGACCGTCGCATCCATCAGGCACTGGCATTCGCGCTCCGTCTCCGGCGGAATACCGCCGCACTCGCCCGGCGGAACGGAGAGGCAGACGGCCTCCAGCCATGTGAAATCTCTGGGGAAGACATGGATGGAAGCCATTTGTTAGTTCATTTGACGAAACCAATGATCAAATTGGTCAAAAAGATATAAATTGTGGTGGACTTATGTTGACTTTCATTGATCTTGAAGGGAAAATGGTTCAGGAAACCATGTTCAGTTCCCGTAAAATCCAATGGGTCATTGGGATTGATCGTCCCCATGGATGAATTCACAACGTCCCAAAACTCACCAGACTTCCCAGACTTCCAAAATCTTCCAAAGAGATCTACCCTCCGGTCATTCATTGAACAGTCGAACTGGAAGCCATGGCCCATTTACTTCCATGATTTACTCAGAAATCATGATTTACCCATGTTTTTCCATGATTTCCTCAAAGATGGTGATTTTCCAAGCAGAACGCGCCCCAGAAATTCCCCGAACTCGAGCACCTCCCTTCGTTGCAAGCCCTGGCCATTGCAAGGCTCCGAAGCCGCCCTGCAGCTGGACCAATTGGAGATCTGCCACCCGCAGGCGGGAGGCCTGGACCATGTGATCAACTTCAAGATCAACGGATGGGATGCGTTTATAAAGTTTGGAAAACTTCGGAAGTTGATGTAAAATTCATCAGTAAATCAATGTTAAATGGTAAGTTGATAAGATCTCAACTTACCATATGTTACTGATAAGAGGACACCTCCTCCAGGTGGAAGACATATGTTTGACAGATCTATGTCAAACGGATGGGATGGTTTATAACATGATTTGAGTGTTCAAAAATCCCTCTATCATTCCATTGAATCCTGGTTGTTGTTTTTTGGATTCCCAATTCTTGGATTACTACAAGCCCCAATATGTAAAGGGTAGTATAATCCTCGAACTAATCATCAACCAACAGGGGTTGTGAACACTGCTCATATGTTAAGGAATACATCAAATGGTAAGATATAATGGTCAACTTAATATATCAATAATATAACCTAACCATTGGACCATTGGAATATTAATATAACATGTTGTTCCTGAATATCCATATTAGTAAGGAATATATTCATATGTTTGTATATCCATTAATATTCTCAATACATATTTGCCAATATTTTTTAGTATGTCCGTTCATATTAAACATGTATACAAAACAAAAAAAACATATGAGATCTCACTCATTAATAAATATGGTTAACGTTGTTTAACCACATTCTTAAATAAATATCAACATTTTTGTCAAACATTCAACATATTTCAAATATGAACATACATTAAACATCATTAAACAAACATATGGAGCGTTCCATAAATGATGGATCCCCAATAGGTTGGTTGGTTTTTCATGGAAACTCCGAAAATCAACTTGCAAAAAGCTGTTTGATCTGTTTGGTTTAGTTCATGGACAATCCCAAAATAAAATGGATGATTTAGGGCTAACCCCACAACTTAGGAAACCTCCAAGGCTAGTTGGTGGTTCCCAAACATATTTGGGGAATGTGTCAAAACCCTACCCCTTTCGTTCACATTTTATATTTTAGCTGGTCAAAAAAATAGGGATGTTCATCCATGCATCCCCTAAAGATAGGTGTGTTCATCATGAAAAATAGCTAAATTTCCCACTAAAAATCTTAAATCCAGCTGTAATTATTCCCAATTGTACCTATTATCCAGCTATAATTATTCCTAAATGCTATGATAGCTATAATTCTTTAATATATGCTAAATATCTTTAAAAAAAACTAAATCCCTAGGTATTGATGGTGATCCATCCCATCCTCAAGGCACCTCAGGATGCCCTCGGGGCAGGGTTCCTGGCTCCGGGGCTTAGCACCGCTGCAGAAGCCATCCGCCTCGCGCGCGGCCAAGTCGGAGACCCGGGCGCACCAAACGGCGCGGGACCTGGCGAGGATGTTCAACCCAGAGATCATTCTCAACCAGTGATATCTGACTTGTTGGAGGTATTTGTTGGATGATTTTGTTCGGATTTTTTTTTCCGGAAGGTTCAATTTTTAGGTCATAGTCTTGAGAATGTTGGGGATTTTGGGCCTCAAAGTTTCAGATGCAGATTTGTTTGAGGATATTTGACCTTTGACCTTTAGTTTTCAGAAGATTGAGGGATTTTGGGATATGTAGTAATTGGTGACCGAATGGCAAGTTAGGGTGATTAGGGTGTGGTTGGGATCAAATGTGTTTCAAAAAGGTCTTAGGAAACACTAGAAGGACACACATATATATATTATATTATATATATATATTATATATACAATTGTTTTTGTTGCCAAATCAGGAAAAAAATCATCACCCCAAGAGTTGCCTTTTCTTGCCAAGCAAAATCCGGGATGTAACCAACCAGGCATGGGGCAGATCACCTACATGGCATTCGTGTGGGGTTGATATGGCATCTTGGGTCAGGATTTGGCGCCAAACCCCCATAGATTCATCGGACTTGGACAGTCGAATTTCACGAAAGATGCTTCATCAATAGCCCAGAAATAGTTTGATGAACATATACAAAAGCCCATACCAAAGGCCATAAATTTCCCAAAGGTATATACTATGTAGGGAAATGGAAAAAAAAAACGGAACACCGGGCTCCGCTCGCACTGTGCGCCTCAGAGGAATCAGCAAATTGCTACAAACAGCGCCCCCTGCAGTGATTTTGGATGGTGGTTTTTCACCCGAAAAGTTGGCCATTTTGGAGGATTTGGATCATTTGGATGGGATGATGGTACCATGAAACATGCTGATCTAATCGATGGAGGACAAAAGGCCTGCACAGTCTCCCCAAAGAGATGCAACAAACCTCGGCTGCCATCAGCAGAGGACTAAGGCTGCTAAGGATTACTAAGGACTCTTATTCAAGAGACAGGTAAATCCAATCTCTGTTGATGTTTCAATCCCTCAAATGTTGACCGATTTGGTGTAGGGGCCTTAGGCCCTTAGGCCAATTGCTCCAATTTGTGAAGTTTCAAACCACGGAAACGCAATGATTCCGTTGGTTTCACCGCGATTCTTCCGTTCTTTTGCTTGTTGTGTTCCTGATGAAATCCCCATGTTTGGCAGGATTAATGCCTAATTTTGATTGATGAACATGCAATTTGTGTGTTCCCAAAGTTTGTTGGTGAAGATCAGCCCTGCTCATGCCCAAAGTTTGGCTTGTGGTATCCTCATGTCTGTCTGTTACACTCCACATCCTTCATGTTTATACGGTATAGTTCCCCATTCTTGTTGTTCTTCTTCCCATCTGTTGAAGAAACACCAGTTAAGTTGTAACGACCCCAAAAGTGTTGATCAGTTATTGCTATATCCAATGTTGGATAGCTATACCGTCCAATTAGGAGACTTAAACCCCAAAAAAATTGCTCAGCTGGGTCAAATCCCCATTTCGGAGGGTTTTTTCTAGTTCAATCATGTTCAATCTCCGACATTCATCCATTTATGGTCCCTGTTTTGTTGGTGTAACCTCCCCCCAAAAAAAATGCTGGGTCCGGTGGATCCCTCCACTCCGAATCAGCAAGTTGCACAGACTCCACGCGGTCGGCTGAAGGCATGGTGAAGCGCAAGGACACCTGGGACCCGGGAAACCCAACAGGGACAAGGAGATCCATGATGAGAGTTCATAGAACTGGATGAGAATTGGATCGGAACTCTCAGAACTGGATGAGAATCGGATGGGAATTCTGAAAGAAACGGATGAGAATTGGATAATATGTTTGTATATATTTGTGTTGTGTTTTCTGGACTCCTACAAAATCATGGGAAAGCCCTTGCTAAGAATGAACCAAGTGCGTTGCCTTGCTGGGTCCCAAAAACACTGTTGTAGGAAACAGCCAGACACAAAAGTGAGAGTGAGAGTGATGGTGATGGTGATGGTGATGGTGGTGGTGGTGATGATGATGATGATGATGACGATGATGATGATGACGATGGCAACCTGGTGTCCCTTTTGTCTCAAACAACCAGCTCTGCAGCCCAAGGCACATTTTCGCGCGCAGTGAGGCCATAGTTTTCCACCACCTGCAGATCACAAATTGGAACATGTTTGGAGCTTCATGATTCATGATCCAATCCAATGTTGGTACCCTCTGGCAATCAAACATAACTGGTAGCGCTGGAAAATCTCCTTTTTCTAATGTTCATAGGTATTTTTCTAATGTTCATTGGTCCCGAAGGCTTTCTGTTAAGCCGTTGGGTCTTCCAAAACAAAGCCTAAAAGCTTCGGAAACTGCTTGACACACACGTCTTGGTCAAGAAAAAATGACAGGCCAACGTCCCACAATTTTTCGTGCTTGAAATATTCATGATCATGCTGAAGGCCCCATTGTTTCAAGCCTTCATTTGAAATTTGAGGCTAGAAAATCTCCATTTCTGCAGTATGAAATCCACCATTTTGCCATTTGTTTGCCTTGCGCGAAATCGCAACTTGCTCAGTTTCCCTGAGTTTTCTGATGTTTTCAAGGTCAAAGCTGCTGTTTTAGATGGTTCAACATCACTTTTACATCCGGGATCTCCATGTGTTTCCCAGCCTTTCCGAGCACCGGCAACAAGACTTCTGGGTCCTGACGAACCGCTTGGATCGCTTCCAGAGCCTGGCTGAATGGATCATGAATGATCCATGAGTCATTGGATCATAACTTTATCATTGGATATGAATATCACTATATTATATATCTTATATATATATACGAATGGATATCATGAATTAGTTTGATTCATTTTCCACTAGTGAATAATTATATCCATTGTTGTATATTAAACATATATATATGCGTATATATATGCACCAGGCCCTGCCACCCCCCCCTCCCCCCGCATGGGATGGGTCCCATATTGAGATCTTCCCCCTCCCCCCCCTGTGGTGTGGTGGGGGTGTGGTACTGTCCCCCTCCCCCCCTGTGGTGTGGTGGGGGTGTGGTATGGTATGTTGGGTATGTATGGTGTGTATGGTCGGTCTGGTATGGCATGTTTGGAAAGTATGGTATGTTTTGTATGTATGGTAGGTATGGTATGTATGGCATGTATGTTTGCTATTGTATGTATGGTAGGTGTGGCAATTATGTGGCATATGTATGGTATATGTGGTATGTATGATAGGTATGATAGGTATGGTATGCATGGCATCATTGGAATGTATGGTAGGTACGGTATATGTTAAACACATGTAATGTTGTCAGAGTACACAGGTAGTAAATAGGAAGTAGATACATAACACATGTATATATATCACTATAGGTAGTACGTAGGCGTCACGTAGGTACTTTGAGGGAGTATATGTGCTACGTAGGTCACCTGAAAGGTAGCATGTACCTAGTAAATGCAAGGCTGGTAGTCAGAAATGCTGCAAAGACCTAGCAAATACGAAGCTGGAATTGAGAAATGCTGCCAATAGCTTGCAAATAGAAGGAAAGGGGGGGTGGTACCTGGGGACCCAGCACCGTCCCCCCCTCCCCCCCTGTGGTGTGGTGGGGGTGTGGTACTGTCCCCCTCCCCCCCCTGTGGTGTGGTGGGGGTGTGGTATGGTATGTTGGGTGTTGGGTATCTATGGTGTGTATGGTCTGTCTGGTTTGGCATGTTTGGAAAGTATGGTATGTTTGGTATGTATGGTAGGTATGGTATGTATGGCATGTATGTTTGCTATTGTATGGATGGTAGGTGTGGCAATTATGTTGCATATGTATGGTATATGTGGTATGTATGATAGGTATGATAGGTATGGTATGCATGGCATCATTGGGATGTATGGTAGGTACGGTATATGTTAAACACATGTAATGTTGTCAGAGTACACAGGTAGTAAATAGGAAGTAGATACATAGCACATGTATATATGACTATGGGTAGCACGTAGGCGTCACGTGGGTACTTTGAGGGAGTATATGTGCTACGTAGGTCACCTGAAAGGTAGCATGTACCTAGTAAATGCGAGGCTGGTAGCCAGAAATGCTGCAAAGACCTAGCAAATACGAAGCTGGAATTGAGAAATGCTGCCAATAGCTTGCAAATAGAAGGAAAGGGGGGGTGGTACCTGGGGACCCAGCACCGTCCCCCCCTCCCCCCCTGTGGTGTGGTGGGGGTGTGGTACTGTCCCCCTCCCCCCCCTGTGGTGTGGTGGGGGTGTGGTATGGTACGTTGGGTATCTATGGTGTGTATGGTCTGTCTGGTTTGGCATGTTTGGAAAGTATGGTATGTTTGGTATGTATGGTAGGTATGGTATGTATGGCATGTATGTTTGCTATTGTATGGATGGTAGGTGTGGCAATTATGTTGCATATGTATGGTATATGTGGTATGTATGATAGGTATGATAGGTATGGTACGCATGGCATCATTGGGATGTATGGTAGGTACGGTACGGTATATGTTAAACACATGTAATGTTGTCAGAGTACACAGGTAGTAAATAGGAAGTAGATACATAGCACATGTATATATGACTATGGGTAGCACGTAGGCGTCACGTGGGTACTTTGAGGGAGTATGTGTGCTGCATAGGTCGCTGAAAATAGCATGTACCTAGTAAATGCAAGGCTGGTAGTCAGAAATGCTGCAAAGACCTAAGTAAGTGTTTACATAAGAGTCGATGATAAGTAGGAGCGCTGGAGGCGCTGGAGGCGCTGGAGGCGCTGAAGGCGCTGAAGGCGCTGAGGGCGCTGAGGGCGCTGAAACCGCTGAAACCGCTGAGGGCGCTGAAGGCGCTGAGGGCGCTGAAGGCGCTGAGGGCGCTGAAGGCGCTGAGGGCGCTGAAGGCGCTGAAGGCGCTGAGGGCGCTGAGGGCGCTGAGGGCGCTGAAGGCGCTGAGGGCGCTAAAGGCGCTGGAGGCGCTGAGGGCGCTGAAGGCGCTGAGGAGGCGCTGAGGAGGCGCTGAGGGAGGGCGCTGGAGGCGCTGAGGGCGCTGGAGGCGCTGAGGGCGCTGAGGGCGCTGAAGGCGCTGAGGGCGCTGAAGGCGCTGAGGGCGCTGAAGGCGCTGAAGGCGCTGAGGGCGCTGAAGGCGCTGAGGGCGCTGAGGGCGCTGAGGGCGATGAGAGCGCTGAACGCGCTGAGGGCGCTGAAGGCGCTGAGGGCGCTGAGGGCGCTGAGAGCGCTGAGGGCGCGGAGGGCGCTGAGGGCGCTGAAGGCGCTGAAGGCGTTGAGGGCGCTGAGGGCGCTGAGGGCGCTGGAGGCATGGAGGTGCTGGAGGCGCTGGAGGCGTTCGAGAAATTCTTTATCAAGCCGATCTGCTTGATTATCTTTCTCATATTGCGTTTTTTGGCCTTCGCTACTGATGTTGTGCTTCTTGATTTTCTTGATGTTCGAAGTTGTTATGCCATATGCTCTTTGGTCTTGTCTTTATGATGATACGTTGCTTGATCTTCTCTGCCTCATGCTACGCTGCTTGACCTTCCCTGCCTCATGATGCTTGATGTCTTCTTCACCACGTTATTCTTTTTGATCTTGTCTTCGTGTTTTTTACGCTGCTTGATCTTCTCTACATCAAGCCACACTGCTTGCCTTTAACAAAGCCATGTTTTGCTGCTTGGTCTTCTCTGTATCATGTTAGGCTACCGGATCTTGTCTTTATGATGCTAGGCTGCTTGATCTTATCTACTTCATGCTGCGCTGCTTCACCCTCCCTACCTCATGTCAAACTGCTTGATGTCGTGTACATCAGGTTATGAAATTTGATCTGTTCTTCATGATGCTAGGCTGCTTGGTCTTCTCTATATCCTGTTACGCTGCTGGGCCTTCCCACCTCATGTCAGGCTGCTTGATGTCCCTTAAATCGTGTTATGCTTTTTCTTTTTGTTTCACGCTGCACGCTGCTGCATTGTTTGATCTTATCCTCCTCATGCTACGCTGCTTCACCACCCGCCCTACCTCCTGTTGCTTGGTGTTTTCGACATCAGATCTTTGATTTTTGATGGTTTGATCTTGCCTTGGCGATGCTACACTGCTCGACCTTGACTACCTCATGTTGCGCTGCCTGATGTCCCCTACATCAGGTTGTGCTTTTTGATCTGGTCTGCATGGTGCTAGGCTGCTTGATCTTCTCCGCCTCATGCTGCCGCTTGATCTCCCCTGCCTATCCCTGCGTCATGTTAAGCTGATCTTCTCTGAATCATGTTATGCTACTCGATCTGGTCTTCATAATGCCACGCTGCTTGATTGTCTCTACCTCATGCTACGCTGCTGAACCTTCCCCACCGCATGTTATGTTTCTTGGTGTTCCCTGTGCCATGTTATGCTGTTTGATCTTGCCATCAAGACGGTACGCTGCTTGATCTTTTATACCTCATGCTACGTTCTTGACCTTCCTTTGTTATGTTGCTTGTGTTCTCTATATAATCTCTATATATATATATTGTTGAGTTTTTTGTCTGGCCTTCATGCTGCTACGCTGCTTGACCTTCTCTACCTCTTGTTAGGCTTCTTGGGCTTCCCTACCTCATGTGATGCTGCGTAATGTGCTCTGTATCATACTGTGCTATTCGGTCTTGCCCTCACGATGCTACGCTGCATGATTCCCTACGTCAAACTACACTGCTTGACCTTCCCTAACTGATGTTATGCTGCTCAATGTTGTTACATCAGATCGTGTTACGCTGTTTGGTCTTGTCTTCATGATGCTACGCTGCTTGGTCTTCTCTACATCATGCCTTGCTACACAGCGAATGAATTTCATCAGCAAAGGTTTTAGCACCCAAAACTATTCTGGGAGCACAAGTTTTTCGTGTTTGGCATCAGCAGCGTCACTAGTTGCCATTTTCTGGTTTCAGCTAGAAAAAAGCGCTGGCGAGGTGAGGCGCCCAAAATTGCAGATTCTGTGACGGAACTGATGGTCAAAAGACAACAACTCACTTTCATCAAGCAGAAACCAACTCACTTTCATATATTTTTACCTCCCTGCCAAAGCGTGCATAAGCGTTCTTGGAATGAAGAGACGGGCACGCCCTCAAACCTTTCGCTGTCAAGCAAACGCCGCGCAGCACCTGGTAAGTCTTGTATATACTCTATCCGCCAAATAAACGCTAAGCGTCCATAGCACGGGGGAGGGGGGTGGAGAGACGGAGGACGGGACCATATATAAACTCAGCTTTGCAACAGCAGGTTCCAGGGTGCCGTTCCGGTTTTTGGGTTCTGCAAAAAACGACGCACCTTTCCCGGACCCTGAAAGAATAGTGATTCGCTGAATGGAGGATAATGGATGAATCGCCAATGATGTTGAATTAAATGATTAAATTAATCATCATACATGCGTATCACATTCATATCCACTGTGATTTTTTCAGTATCATTTGGCCACTCATAAGTGTAGTGGATGATGCATGGATAAATTGATGAATGGATGGTACTAACAATAATAATGATGATACATAACAATAATTTGTCTACTTGAAAGAAAATGCTAATAGGAATGGGAATTACGAATTACGAATTACGAATTACGAATTACGAACAACAACAACAACAAGAAGCGGCGTCGTCGTCGTCGTCCTCCTCCTCCTCCTCATCATCATCATCAACAACCGTATCATTAGCATTAGCATTATCACTATTATTACTATTACTACTATAATATCTATATATAATTATCATATCATTATCTGCCATAGTACTAGGGAGACTTGAAAGACCAATCCCACAAGATGGCTCCTGGTCCACCGTGACCTGGGAACCTTCGGGCAGGAGGATCCTTGGTGTCTCAATAAGTCATGGGGGTAGCCTCAGTCATCATAAATCATCCGGATGTTTATGGGATATAAACCATGAAATAAACCATCCAGCCAGCTCGCTTGGCGAGCTTGGGGCATTTATGGAACCATGTTATTCATATACAAACTTGCTGCATGTTGTCAGAATGATAGCACCTGCACCAATGGACAAAATGGCCGATGTCAGCATGGGCCGCAACTGTTTGACTGGACGTCACGCAAGACTGGCCAAGTCCTTAAGCTTTAAGCGTCAGAATGGATAGCCAGGGATGAAATGTGAAGTTCTCTGAAAATACTCTAACTGGTTGGTGGTTTCAACCCCTCTGAAAAATATTAGTCAGTTGGGATGATTATTCCCAATATATGGAGAAATAACAAATGTTCCAAACACCAACCAAACTAATTAGTCATCTGATTATTAATCGTTCTCAATCCACTGGTATTGATATTTCATTTGCTCATTTTCCCCACTATCATGTTCCCCAAATTTTCGCTGTCTACAATAAACTATCCCTTCCACTGCTTCATTTTCTCATTTTCCCCACAACGATTGGTCCAAGGAGCTGAAATTCCGTCTCTAACGCAGGCTCCAACGAAGCCGCGCGCTGGGCACGGCGCGGATCGGCATCGGCATTCTCCAAAGCTTCGCCCGACGCTGCCTGCGAATGATATAATTGGTGTATAATGGTAATATGATAACGGGATATGTGATATGTGTACATGTAATAAAAAGTATATATTTATATACATAACTGAGATGTAAAATGTGATATATATATATATATGTATATATATGTATGTATGTATGTATGTATGTATGTATGTATGTATGTATGTGTATATATATACAAAGAGAGAGAGAGAGAGAGAAGGGAAAAAAAATCATGAAATCCCGGACATGCGTAGGATCAAAACCGCAAAAACCCATGGTTTCCTGTAAATGTGTGTGTAAAAATCTTGACGCACCTGAAGCCACCAGAAATTCCAGAGTTCAACTGGTTTCAACGGTACCAATCTGTGCAAGTTCGACTCATTGGTGTTTAGAGATGCAAAAATGAGAAGTCAATGTCACTTCCACAGTCACCTAGTCTTAGGCCCCTACCAGTCAGCCCAGCAATTCCGGGATCTTCGAGGTAGAGATACCCTCCAGTAAATTAACAGTTCGACCCTGAAAATCACCCAGGGTCTAAATGGAAACTAGTCTTCCAACCCCGACAACTGCCAGGGTCTATCTTAATTTACCAGAGGGTAAACCTCCATTTTCCTATGGTTTTCCCATGGTTTTCCCATGGTTTTCCTATGGTTTTCCCATGGTTTTCCCATGGTTTTCCCATGGTTTTCCCATGGTTTTCCTATGGTTTTCCCATGGTTTTCCCATGGCTTTCCTATGGTTTTCCCATGGTTTTCCCATGGTTTTCCCATGGTTTTCGTATGGTTTTCCTATGGTTTTCCCATGGTTTTCCCATGGTTTTCGTATGGTTTTCCTATGGTTTTCCTATGGTTTTCCTATAGTTTTCCTATGGTTTTCCCATGGTTTTCCCATGGTTTTCCTATGGTTTTCCCATGGTTTTCGTATGGTTTTCCCATGGTTTTCCCATGGTTTTCCTATGGTTTTCCCATGGTTTTCCCATGGTTTTCCTATGGTTTTCCCATGGTTTTCCTATGGTTTTCCTATGGTTTTCCTATGGTTTTCCCATGGTTTTCCCATGGTTTTCCATGGTTTTCCTATGGTTTTCCTATGGTTTTCCTATGGTTTTCCTATGGGTTTTCCTATGGTTTTCCCATGGTTTTCCCTATGGTTTTCCCATGGTTTTCCCATGGTTTTCCCATGGTTTTCCCATGGTTTTCCTATGGTTTTCCATGGTTTTCCTATGGTTTTCCTATGGTTTTCCCATTTTTCCCATGGTTTTCCTATGGTTTTCCTATGGTTTTCCTATGGTTTTCCTATGGTTTTCCTATGGTTTTCCCATGGTTTTCCTATGGTTTTCCTATGGTTTTCCTATGGTTTTCCCATGGTTTTCCCATGGTTTTCCTATGGTTTTCCCATTTTTTCCCATTTTTTCCCATGGTTTTCCTATGGATCTAAAATCTGGTCAGCAGCCAAAACACCTCCAAGCGCCGAGCGATGGGACCAAACATGGCCTGGGCTGGGATGATCAGACGGCCTGGGAAATATGTCTGGAGAATAGGGTATATTCCCAATTATAGCCATTTAAAAACGGGATAATGATCATTAACCATCGGGTTTAGGAGTTTAGGGGTACACTATTTTCAGACACACCCATATGAATGATGAATTATCATAATCCAGAATAGGAATTATCAGACAATATATCTGACAATATTAGTCAATATTGCAGTTTATGAATGATCATAATCCACACGCATGAAATCAGGGCATTCGGGGATAGTTACCCCTACCAACCATCCAAAATCAGTCACGTCGCGACTGTTGTTCGGTCGTTTGGAAGGACCATCTTCGTCAGAGTGCTTACGTTGTTTGAGAATTGCAATGGCCCTGAAGACTCCCTGCCATGTCATCTCTTTTTGCACCCCACTTTGCTGGGGTGTAAAAAGAGATTGCGCGCATGTTTCTTGCATAACTGTTGGCCATGTGCCTTTCTCACTCAAAGTGAGAGCTCTTATTTCATCTTTGAAGCAGCTCTTCCGCTTCCAGCAATCCTTTTAGGACCTGCTGTTCCCATTCACTTGACCATTTGATCATTTCGCTTCTGCTAAGTTCATCTAAAATGCCATGTCTTTAATTTCACTTGGGAGGAAGTCCCCCAAAATTCTACATCCATTGGATCCATTGGATCCATCAGTCCTCTCAATACGGCGATGGCCGCGCCTTGTCACGCACGAAGCCGCCCGACGTCCCCGACGTTGCGGGGGCTGTGGCCGGGCAATCGAAGACCTCTACGAGACGCAACTGGCTGAGGACTTCGTGGAGATCAGGTTGATCTTCCTTACGGGGCACCGGCATATGAAACCAAACAGACTGGAGGGAAAATGTGAAAATGGAGGGAAATCTATGGAAAATGGGGGGAAAACCCTTGAACAAATTAAATGAAGGCAGAGAGATTTGGATGTGGCCACTGTTTCTATCATATGTATGTAGGCATAGATAAATAAGTAAGAAAGAAAGAAACATAGATAGATAGATAGATGGATAGATAGATAGATAGAGATATAGAGAGATAGAGAGATACAGAGAGAGAGAGATAGAGAGATAGAGAGATAGACAGATAGAGAGATAGAGAGATAGAGAGATAGAGAGATAGAGAGATAGAGAGATAGAGAGATAGAGAGATAGAGAGATAGAGAGATAGAGAGATAGAGAGATAGAGAGATAGAGAGAGAGAGAGAGATAGAGAATAGAGAGATAGATAGATAGATAGATAGATAGATACATAGATAGGTAGATAGATAGATAGATAGGTAGATAGATAGGTAGATAGATAGAGGAAGATAGATAGATAGATAGATAGATAGATAGATAGATAGGTAGATAGGTAGATAGGTAGATAGGTAGATAGGTAGATAGATAGATAGATAGAGATAGATAGATAGATAGATAGAGATAGATAGATAGATAGAGATAGATAGAGACAGATAGAGATAGATAGAGATAGATAGAGATAGATAGAGATAGATAGAGATAGATAGAGATAGATAGAGATAGATAGAGATAGATAGAAATAGATAGAAATAGATAGAAATAGATAGAAATAGATAGAAATAGATAGAAAAAGATAGAAAAAGATAGAAAAAGATAGAAAAAGATAGAAAAAGATAGAAAAAGATAGAAATAGATAGAAATAGATAGAAATAGATAGAAATAGATAGAAATAGATAGAAATAGATAGAAATAGATAGACATAGATGGAAATAGATAGAAATAGATAGAAATAGATAGAAATAGATAGAAATAGATAGAAATAGATAGAAATAGATAGAAATAGATAGAAATAGATAGAAATAGATAGATATAGATAGATATAGATAGATATAGATAGATATAGATAGATATAGATAGATATAGATAGATAGATAGATAGATATAGATAGATATAGATAGATATAGATAGATATGGATGGAAATGGATGGAAATGGATGGAAATGGATGGAAATGGATGGAAATGGATGGAAATGGATGGAGATGGATGGAGATGGATGGAAATGGATAGAAATAGATAGAAATAGATAGAAAGAGATAGAAATAGATCGAAATAGATCGAAATAGATCGAAATAGATCGAAATAGATCGAAATAGATCGAGATAGATAGATAGATAGATAGATAGATAGAATAAGATAGGATAAGATAGGATAAGATAGGATAAGATAGGATAAGATAGGATAAGATAGGATAAGATAGGATAAGATAGGATAAGATAGGATAAGATAGGTTAAGATAGGATAAAATAGGTTAAGATAGGAAAAGATAGGATAAGATAGGATAAGATAGGATAAGATAGGATAACATAGGTTAAGATAGGATAAGATAGGATATAGATAGGAAGGTAAGATAAGGTAAAATAAGGTAAGATAAGGTCAGATAAGGTAAGATAAGGTAAGATAAGGTAAGATCAGGTTAGATCAGGTAAGATAGGATAAGATAGGATAAGATAAGAGTAGATAGGTCAATAGGTAGATAGGTAGATAGGTACATAGGTAGATAGGTAGATAGGTAGATAGGTAGATAGGTAGGTAGGTAGATAGGTAGGTAGGTAGATAGGTAGGTAGATAGATAGATAGATACACATGCCGTAGCTCGAATATTGCTCAGTGTTTGTACTTAACCTTGAGGGTACAGTAAATAATTTTGAGCCAAACCCATATGAAACCAATAAGATATCAAGTGGGCCGGTAGATGAATGTAGGGAGATATTGGGACATCCACCAATGAAAATGGAGAGATTCAGCAGACCTACTGCAGCTGGGAACCAAAACCAGGTCTTTCCCCCAGGGTCCCTCTCTGGGATAGCACTTCTCTTTTAGTATCCTATAAGGAAACTAGCTAATCAAGTCGCAAGACTCACATGGAGAACATTGTAATGTGGTTAAAACCATGCCATTTTTACTAGCCATGACTGGGAATGGTAAGTTTATACCACCAAACAAAAAATTGGTGATTTGGTGGGGATTTTTCTGGATTTCATCCCAGGCTGAAATCCCTGCATCCGATCGAAGCTTCCAAGGGGAGTAGGATGGACACCGGATCCCCCCGTCGATTGGGAAAGACAAACCGCAGCTTGTGCAGAAACGGTCTCTGGCAATATTTCACCTGGCACAGATGCAGATGAAAAAAAGGTCTGGCTTGTTATAAAAGGAAAACCGGCATCAATTTCGCCATTGAACATGGTGAACATGGCCAGCAAATGGAAGTTTCCTGAAATAAGGGTACCCCCAGTCATCATCCATTTTACTGGGATCTTCCATGAAATAAACCATCCAATGCTCGCTTGGGGTACCCCCATGACTATGGAAACCAACTCAACGGACAATGGCTGAACCATACCGATGAAATGACCCAATGACCGTCGCCACTCGCCCGCCGACTTGGTGGAAAAGAGATCAGCACTTCCACTTCCTGGTTTTTGAAACGCTTGTTTCGAGGTGGAAACTACTTAGTATAATTATGACACAAGTTTTTTTCCGATGTTTCCCGTTAAGAAGTATCAATTGACCAAGAAACACTTCTGACGCTGACTTGAAGGAGCTAGGTGGGGTTCATGATCTGAAAACCCCCTGAAAAACCACCAGCCATTGGATTGATATCCCCAAGGGCAAAGGCCCTTTGAAATACCATCCCATCTCATGAAATACTACTTGGTTGATAGATTTCCCTACTATGTGATTTTTATACGTTCAATCATAATCCCCAATAACAAAGGTAGTATCACTCCCGAACTAATAGCCAATCAACAATCATCTATCAATATACCTTCACATTTGTAGTTCCAAACCCCTATAAACAATGGTTGTTCAATCCCCTACTGTTTTCATGCTACAGCACCTTAGAGTCAAAGGGTGGCCGCCCCCTCGCGTATTCATGGTCTCCCACGAGAGGCAAACCGATGTGCTCCTGGGTCATGGCTTTTCCACGGGGATGTGGTACCCGAATAGGACCCCAAAACAGCTGCGGTTAATGGACGTTGATTCCCCCGTATGGCAACAGGCTTTGACCCATCCCTATTTGGCTTCTTCGCTTGGAGATGCGTTCATATCAGGCTTTGTTGGGATGGTTTTCACCCAATCTGCGCCACCGATGATCCATATATCCCAGCTATTTGGTGGCGGAGTTTCCACACATTCCATCGGCTTTTGACCCATGATGGGATAAATTTGACATGCTTTGAACCGGAAAAAAAAAACCAAAAATTCTTCGAATGATCGGATGCCCAGCTTCACAATGGACTCTGATCTGATGCGTTCTTCCAGTCAGAAGCCTCAAATGCAGCAGAGTGTAGTAGAATCCACTAGCACTCTGATACTCTGCCAGACACTCCTGGTCGGGAGCCGCCCAAAATAGGGGAAAAATGAGATCCAGGGTTTTTTAACATCAGCATACCACTTTTCAATCACTGTTCAGTCATCTAGAACCACAAAACAACACCCAAAGACAAACAAAAAACTATCCTACTTATCTATACCTATCTGACTATGAGTCAAAACCCTGGTGCCCTGTTGCTCACATCAAAATACTTGGGATTTATGGATGTGCACCCCCCTAAACATGACAATTTTGCATTATAATACATATATATATATATATTACATATGGATTTACATATGTATATATATATATGGATTTACATATGTATTATATATATATGATATGTTTTTATATGTATTGATCCATAGCCATCTTACATCCAAAGAGTCGCAAAATAGCTGGATCTTCATCCTCCTATTTGCCGCTGATCGATGCAAGAAACTTGCCATCTTCAGCACCAAAGAATTGAGGACTCATCCTCCTCCAAAAATTATTTAACATAGCTATGGAAAATCACCATGCTTTTAATAGGTAAACCATCTATTTCAATGGGCCATCTATACCATGGCTTCCATGGCTATGTTAGTCATAACCAGAGGCTATTTCCAAACATGTGGTAAATCATTGCTTGAAAACGTCGTTTGCTGGAAGGTCAACCAAAAATCACAAAACTTTCACAACCATCCCAGAATCGTATTGCGTCTGCGACGCTTCACCTTTTCCGGAGGGGTTCACTTCCACCCGCCGGGTCCAACTGTACGGCGTCCGGTCGATGGCCGCCGAGATCAAGCCCCGGAGCTGGTTCCGATACTCGCCGCGACAGTGGAGTCGCACGGAGCCATGGACCAGTGCAACGTAGTCGCGGACGAAACGCTGGGTGTAGCAATCCTACAGCGACGCTGGATGAAAGATGAAATATGGCGAAATATGGCGTGAAACACCCAAATGCTTATTGCATCTTATTGCTGGGTAATATTCATTCGTCCCATACCCGGACATGCAGTGATGGGTCCCAGCCTGTGGTAAGGGGTAACCCAGGGTAACTCTTGAGGTTCACGAACAAAAATCTGCTTCGGATTTCAGGTGTAGCCATTTTAATGTAGGGCTAACCTAACATAACCTCACATGACTGGGGAGAGTTAGCCCTAACCATCGTTCCAGGGAGAACAGTGGGGTCCATTCATGGCTTAATACTAGGCCTACTATCATTGGTATTTTTCAAGGCCAATTTTCAAATGACCATCCCTGTGGGAACTACAAGAAAATCCGTGCACCTGGCACATGTATCACATGTTCATTAATTAAAAAAGACGGAGCTCAACAATACCCTCTGGTAATGACTAACAGTTTCCTGTTGAAAATGGCCGTAGACATAGTTGATCTACCTATTAAAGATGGTGATTGTCCATAGCTTTTGTATGTTTACCAGAGGGTATCACATGGATGCCATGGGAACAACAGGGAAGCTGAACATCGAAATTAAAACATCCTTCTGATTCATGGTGATGAATATCTACAAGGGACAATGGGAAGTCAAAAAAAAGGGGGTTCCATAAATGCGGGTACCCAAAAATGGATGGTTTATTTCATGGAACGTCTTAGTAAAATGGATGATGACTGGGGGTACCCCCATTTCAGGAAACCTCCATATATATATATACATAGATGAGGAATTGATGAGAAAATCTCCAAAAATGTATAGTTTAACCAATAATAAAACCAGTTGATGGCCACCAAAAAGTTATCTCCAGTTGGGGAATCATCATTCCCCTTTGGAAAATATTACAAGTAGGCTTTGTCTGAAAATAGGCGACCTCAAAATCCCATACACTAGTGTATCATCAGCAGAAATCGCCATTTTTGGAGCTGCCCTCTGGTAAACTAACATAGCTATGGAAAATCACTATGTTTAATGGGTAAATCCACTATTTCTATGGCAATTCTCAAGAACTATGTTAGTTTACCAGAGGGTATACCACATTTCCAGACACAAAAAAAACAACGACTGAAACCGGTCCAGAATCTTTTTTGGCCATCTCCCAGGCCTCCTGGTTTTTCGCCACCAACAAGCATCCTGAAGTGCCCGTATCCAGCCGGTGGATCAGGCCCCAGAGCATATCTTTGTTCATGACGCCAGCCAATATGGGATCTCGCCCGAAGCGTAAGATGATGTAATCGTGCAACGCGGCAGTGCCTGGTTTCAAAAGTAACTTCTCAGCCTCTTCTTTCCGGTGCTCCGGGGAATCGAGTTCATCGTGAACCTGTCTCAACACCTCAAGTGCAGACAAAGTCGCCAAAAAACTCTTTGTGTTGGCAGTTGTCAGTATCATGTGGCTTTGCACATTAAATGGCGTAGCCCCCAAGTGCGTTGCTTAATCACAAATTTCGCAAAAATTGGAGTTCGTCTCAGGTTCAGATCCATAGTTGGGGGTCAAAGCTGAATCCATCTTAAAGCTTTGACCTTTTTCAAGATATGCCGGATAAAAATCAAATGTATCAATCATTGATTGCCACTTTATCAATAGTTTTGACGCCCTCTAACCCCAATAATGCCTATTAATCCATATTAATCCCACTCCCCATTCACTGAAAAACACCCAAACGCCCATTCACCATGGTACCCAGTAGTGGATGAATCCCTATGAATCCATATCCCCATCAATCCCCCATCTGGTAAACGTTAACATAGCATAACATAGCTATAGAAAATCACCATGTTTAATGGGAAAATCCACTACATATCATTAATGCTTGGTGGATATCAATTAACTCAGATGGATAATGCTTGGGGATTCTTTCACAATTATCGAAAAACAATCAACCATGTGCCAGAGGGTATTAATCATCCCCATTTATATAATCCCCATGTTTTTCTCCCCATAAAAACCATCATAAAAACCATCATAAAAACCATGGCACTTCAGGTCCATGAACGCAATTGGTGCAATGCCACCAGGGAGGTTTGGTAATGACCATCAAGTCGTAGTCCTCGAAGACCACCTGGCACTGGCGAAGTCTGCAAGAATGGAGATTCTATGTGGATTTCTATGGATTTCTATCGATTTCCATATGGATTTCCAGGGATTTCTGAATTTTAATGTCTGAGATGTGAAAATTCTGCGATTTCTATCTATAATATATATGGCAGATTCTTAAATTAGGGAGTCTTGGGGGTACGCCCATTTTAGGAAACCCCCATATGTACATATATATGTGTATGTATATATATATATGTAATGATTCGTCATCCTGGAGGAATGATAGAATGTGGACACGTTAAGAAACGACTCACTGAAATGCGAATCTCTCTTTGAAAATTCCGTATTCTATCTACTTCAGGATGTGTATATATATATATATTTATACAGCTTACAATTATACAAATGAATATGCACACATGTTTTTTTCGATGGATGGCAGCCCCCATTGATGACACAAATCTAAAACATATAAAATGGCAGCTTTGGGGGAGGTGCCTTATATATATATATATACATAGATATTTATATATACAGGCCCCCCTGGGAATCAAACCAATCAAACCAACCATTGCTGGGAAATCACCAAACTCCAGCTGCGCCATGGGAAGTCCATAGCTGCCATAGCTAGCTATGGCTTGCCACGGGATCGATGGGAAATCAGTATGTTTGTATATACGTTTGTGACATGTATATCACTACCAATGTAACACATCTATATACAGTGTATTCTACGTGTATTCTACAGCTTCCAATTGTATATCAATATGCGTGTGTCATGTGTAATTATGAAATATAGATGTCATCTATACATATGCTATAAAATCCCCCAGCCATACTTCATAGATTTCCCCTTAAAACCCCAATTAGTTCGTGGATGTTCCAGCTTGCCACTTTTGATGACACCCTTGCGGGTAACACCGTTTGTTCCCATCCTTTTTCCATAATCTGTTGGCTTAGTTGGTTTGGTCTCACCCCTTACCCTTTGGTAGACTAACATGGCTATTATGGCCATCTAGTTCGATGCTTGACCTTTTTTCAACATGCTGATGTTCCATATCTTGATGTACTGGAGGGTAATAACAAAACAGTTAGTGATCATGTATCTGGGTAAATTATACTATGTAACTAACCTGAATCTTGCGACCATAAAAGGGGATGATTTCCCGAATTAACCATGATAAAACAGTGAGGTCGCAATGAGGTTCTTATAATATACCCAGATGTATATACACCTATATATATATGTTATATATATATGTTACATATGTTATGTATGTATGTATGTATGTATGTATGTATGTATGTATGTATGTATGTATGTATGTATGTATGTATGTATGTATGTATGTATGTATGTATGTAGTATGTATGTATGTATGTATGTATGTATGTATGTATGTATGTATGTATGTATGTATGTATGTATGTATGTATGTATGTATGTATGTATGTAATGTATGTAATGTATGTAATGTATGTAATGTATGTAATGTATGTAATGTATGTAATGTATGTAATGTATGTAATGTATGTATGTATGTATGTATGTATGTATGTAATGTATGTATGTATGTATGTATGCATGTATGCATGTATGTAATGTATGTAATGTATGTGTAATGTAATGTATGTAATGTATGTAATGTATGTAATGTATGTAATGTATGTAATGTATGTAATGTATGTAATGTATGTAATGTATGTAATGTATGTAATGTATGAATGTATGTAATGTATGTAATGTATGTAATGTATGTAATGTATGTAATGTATGTAATGTGTAAATATATAATTATGTAATGTATGTAATGTATGTATGTATGTATGTAATGTATGTAATCTATGTATGTAATGTATGTAATGTATGTAATGTAATGTAATGTATGTAATGTATGTATGTATGTATGTATGATGTATGTAATGTATGTGTGTATGTAATGTATGTATGTATGTATGTAATGTATGTAATGTATGTAATGTATGTATGTATGTATGTAATGTATGTAGGTCATGTAATGTATGGAATGTATGTAATGTATGTTATGTATGTAATGTATGGAATGTATGTAATGTATGGAATGTATGTAATGTATGTAATGTATGTAATGTATGTTTTGCATGTTATGTATGTAATGTATGCAATGTATGTAATGCATGTAATGTATGTTGTGTATGTAATGTATGTCATGTATGTTATGTATGTCATGTATGTCATGTATGTAATGTATGTAATGTATGTATGTATGCATGCATGCATGAATGCATGTGTGTATGTGATGCAATGTAATGTAATGTCATGTAATGTCATGTAATGTAATGTAATGTATGTAATGTATGTATGTATGCATGCATGCATGCATGAATGCATGTGTGTATGTGATGTAATGTAATGCCATGTAATGTCATGTAATGTAATGTAATGTATGTAATGTATGTATGTATGCATGCATGCATGCATGAATGCATGTGTGTATGTGATGTAATGTAATGCCATGTAATGTCATGTAATGTAATGTAATGTATGTAATGTATGTATGTATGCATGCATGCATGAATGCATGTGTGTATGTGATGTAATGTAATGCCATGTAATGTCATGTAATGTAATGTAATGTAATGTCATGTATGTATGCATGCATGTATGCATGCATGCATGTGTGTATGTGATGTAATGTAATGCCATGTAATGTCATGTAATGTCATGTAATGTAATGTAATGTCATGTATGTATGCATGCATGCATGCATGCATGAATGCATGTGTGTATGTGATGTAATGTAATGTCATGTAATGTCATGCAATGTCATGTAATGTAATGTAATGTCATGTATGTATGTATCTATGTATGTATGTATGTAATGCATGTAATGTAATGTAATGTAGTGTGATGTAATGTAATGTAATGTAATGCAATGCAATGTAATGTAATGTAATGTAATGTAATGTATGTATGTATGTATGTATGTATGTATGTATGTAATGTATGTATGTAATGTATGTATGTAATGTATGTATGTATGTATGTTTTGTATGGCATGGCATGTTATAAATGTCATGTATGTCGTGTATTGTGTGTATGTCATGTTTGTCATGTATGCCATGTATGTTTTCTATGTTTTGTATGTTTTGTATGTCATGTATGTTTTGTATGGCTTGCATGTCATAATTGTCATGTATGTTGTGTATTGTGTGTATGTCATGTTTGTCATGTATGCCATGTATGTTTTCTATGTTTTGTATGTTTTGTTTGTCATGTATGTCATGTATGTCATGTTTGTCATGCATCTCATGCATGTCATGTATGTTTTGTATGTTTTGTTTGTCATGTATGTCATGTATGTCATGTTTGTCATGCATCTCATGTATGTCATGGATGTTTTGTATGTTTTGTATGTTTTGTATGTTTTGTATGTAATGTATGTAATGTGTGCAATGTATGTACATATGTATGTTGGTGCCAATGTAAACGCACATGTACGCGCAGATGTAACTGTCAATTTCAATGTAAATGTATTTTTATTTACGCATATACACATATACTTACATATATATACATACATATTTATTTGTATACTGTACCTATATATATATGCATTTTTATGTACACAAATGTACATATATATACATACATACTTATACGTACATATACGTACATATAAGTACATACCGGGTTCTTCAAAAAAAACAGCCATCCCATGAAATAGAAGACCATAGACGTTATGTCGCCCCCGTCCCCCAATTCAATGTTGTACTCTGAATTATGTGTTTGGCGGCCTTCAAAAAAAACAGCCATTTCTGTTCATGGTGTTCGGCACTTCCAAGCACAACATTGAAGTTGGGGGTTGCGGGGGTAATGTATGTATCTATGTGGTTGTTTGTGGATGGCTGTTTTTTTTGAAGAACCCGGTATCAATAAAAATGGATGTCTAAATATGTGCTTTACACTTCCTCACACATATATATATATGTATAAATGGATATGCACATGCAGATCAATGTATGTATATTTTTTGTGTGTATATGTATGTGTCTGTAAATGTATGTATACGTATGTAAATGCAATGTGTATATGTATATGCATAAATTTATGTTTGCAAATACTTGTATATCTATCTTCATTTGAAGGTAAATATATGCATATGTATCTGTATATATGTATAGATATACTTTGTATATTTAAATTTATGTAGGTATTGCTTTTTGATATATGAATATGTATCTCTACATATATGCGTGTGTATACATTAATCTTTGTATATTTTTATGTACATACAAATTATGGATTTTTGTATGAACATGTATTTTTGCATATATGAATATGTATTTGTATATATATATATACATGTATGAATACATACGCGTACATTTGCCTAAATGTATATTGTATATATTTATTTAAATATGTATGCACGTATGTATATGTATTAAATATATATATATGGTACCCCCCCCAAAAAGTCTACCTCACAGCTGGTGCACATGTCCCCTGTAGCAAATATATATATATATATACATATGTTCTTATGTATGTGTATAAATTTCTGTAAATGTACGTATGTATGTAAATGTATGTATGCATGTATGCATGCATGCATGAATGCATGTGTGTATGTATGTATGCATGCATGTATGCACGTATGTATGTATACGTATGTATACGTATGTATACATATGTTTACGTACGTATACATATGTATACGTATGTATACGTATGTATACGGCGTATGTATACGTATGTATGTATTAGTGTATTGTACTATAATGTATTGTAATGTAATGTACTGTAATGTAATGTAAGTATGTGTGTATGTATGAAATGTAAGTATGTAAGTATGTAAGTATGTAAGTATGTATGTATGTATGTAAGTATGTAAGTATGTATGTATGTATGTAAGTATGTAAGTATGTATGCATGTATGCATGTATGCATGCATGCATGTATGTATGTATATATATATGGTTGCTTGTACATATTTTTGTCTATATTCATACTATGCACATATATATATATGTATAGACATATATATATATATGCATGCAAGCAGAAAGCATATAGGATATAGGGTATTATAGGTGTATATAGGTATGCATAGGTACGCTTTGGGTATATAGTCTACATACAGTGACGGGTAAATCATGTGTGAGGTTTGCTGTAGGCAGCACGTAAACAGGTTTTGGGTAGAAACATACAGCTACCCAGGGTCCAGTGACGAGGTCGTGGTTCTGAACTGCTGCCAATAACGTGCAAGTGAGGCAGTGCTTCCCAAATGCTGTAAATACCGTACAATTGCGAGGCTGTGCCTTGAAATGCTGCAAGTAGCATGCAAATGGGAGGTTTGCGGGATTGGGGGGGACCATACCATTGGGGGGTGGGGTTCTGGGGACCGGGCTCGTATTTACATATACATATTCAAATCTTCGAATGTACCGAGATGATGTCAGATACCTAGATTACAACAAATGAGCCGAAGTTCTCGGGTTAGCTGAAGAAGAAGCTGACCAGTCACTGAGCACTAGTGAAGCCGAAGCCGAGGCCAGACGAGATTGGTCAGTGGTGTGTGTGCATTGTTGGGCATTTTGGCGGCATCCAGATGCCAACAGGTATTGTAGGTGAAACATATCGTTGAAGCAGTGAAAAAACTTTCAGAATGGTTTCAGCATTTACAGGCACCTGCCGGGTGTCACATGCGGAATTGCAAACGACTTCCTTTGAACACCAAAGACTGACGGCATGGCTTAAACGCGCAGTTCGTCTTGCAGTTTCTGAGCACGACTCAGGACTCTGTTTGGTTCCCTGTGCATTTTGGGTGTGCTGTGCCCATCTGAGAGGGGCTTGCGAAACTACTAAAGTTGTCTCACTTTCTAGAGCATTGGTTGGATTTTCCTTCTTTATGCACTTTTGTTGAATGCATGGAAGTGCTGATGCCGCTAGCATCATTCTTCCAAGGCTTGTGTCATCTGTGCGAATGCCAAGCTGGAGAGCGGAACTCTTGCGGTATCTCTCCTTCGTGTTGCCGGGACCTCTACCACGTAGTCCTCACCAAAAAAGCTTCGGAAAGCATGGAGATTACAGCTGGCAGAAAATTCAAATATCAAAACAATGCGATTACGTGGGGTACCACAGTAACTCAGTAATTACCTACGGGCACTTTTCTGCCCATTACAACATCATAACATGACGGTGATACTGCAGCAAACTTCATGGGAATCAAAAGCAGAAAACTCCACAACCTCCATCATACCAGAGCCGGGTCAAGGTCCAGAAGGCTGTAAAAGGCTGTAAAAGCACGAATGACGGCCCATAGCGATTAAAGCACCAAAACCTGTACTTTATCCAAGATGAACACCACTAAATTTAGCAAAATCAGTGAAACATGACCCACATGACCGTGAAGGCGCAGCCTCATTCACAAAAAGACCTCCAATGCAACCCCAAGGTTGATCCAACAGAGGTATTGCATCATCCTTAGGGAGACTGCAACATTCCTGAGCAAAGTGATCGGCGAGATTGGACCCTAATTAGACCCAGCACAAAGAGCAAAATCATGCATTGAACGCCCCACGCACTACTTACAATATTGTCAGTGCAGATTTGGGCGAGGCTGATGACTAAGAAGGGGCTGCCACACGCATCAAAACACAGCTCTGGAACGTAGAACATCTCTCACAAGAGGACCGCAAAAGCCAAAATCTCCACAACAAGGCATTGCATGCTCCAAGGCCGGTGGACGAGCCACAGAAATACCTACAACAGAACCTCCAGTACAAGGCTTTGTGAGGACACGGCCGCAACTCAAAGCGACCTGGAGATGAGTTCACCAGATCTGTGTACCTGCCCACCGTCGCAACATCACCTGACCACATGTCGCCGCGAAGAAGGACCAGGTTTCTCCGACTGCAACATTCGATTCATTAGGAACGCACAAAGGCGAAAACAAGACAAACCAACGAACCCGAATGCAGTCACGTAAAAAGTTTTATGAAACACTTTATTTCACCTGTCTTATATATTCGTGCCCTGTGACCGTACCGGTGCAGACTGTGGAGTATGAAATGGGGTGGGGTGCGAAGTGTGGAGTGTGAAAATGGTGGAGTGTTGGGTGGGGAATGTAATGTATAGAGTGTGAAGTGGGGATTGCGGAGTGTAAAGTGTAAAGTGTGGAGTGTAAAGTGTAGAGGGTAAATGGAAAGTGGAAAGTGCAAAGTGTAGACTGTAAAATGTGGAGTGTAAAGTGTACAGCAAAGAAGACTGTGCAGTGATAAACGGTCTTGCCACAGTTTTGGTGTGCAATGCAGCTGTCAGGTCGAATCATTTCTTTTCGCATGACCACTGACAGGTACGAATCGATCGCCTGTCGCCTGGGCTCAATGCCCCACGTTTCATCAAACGGCCGCAGAGCAATCCCTTTGCATCGCAATGGAAACGCAGCTGCCCCTTGCTTTGCACCTCTGATTCGATTTGCCATGGAAGTACCATTCCATTGGATCGCATCGATCATCATCAATCTTCAGTTGCTACCGCACGCCATCTGTTGTGTTGGTAGGCGGAGCTACGGCTCCCTACCATGGATGCTCCACCAGAAGATTCTCACTATGATTGGCCAGATGAGACTGAGTTTGGACCACATCCTGATGCGGCCGTTGTGGCTGCACCCGTTTCTATGATGCAAGGACATGGGAGCCCAGCGGGACCCCTGGAAGATGGATCCATGGAAGCCTGACGATTCAGGACCTTTGAATGATGGCGAGCATGCCGAGTCTGAGGCACGAACCAATGACCCTGTTGTCAACCCTGAGGCTCTGCAACCTTTTAGCCGAAGAAAGCGCAGAGCTGCTTGCCAATATCAAGAACGAGCCCAATCATGCTACTTCCATGTCCCCAGCGACGCCTTTGAACCCTTTGCCACAGTCCACACCTAGCATGACCTCACAGAAGAAGCATTCTCCTGGTTGAGATGTCCAGAAGACAAGTCAGTGGAGGGATGACATGCTGAAGGGCCTGAGCGAAGCCGTCGCCAGCAAGGACAAGTCCAAGACTTGGACTATCCAGCAAGGTCCTGCACCAGGAGTGAAGTATTGAGGTGGAAGCCCACCAAACCCTGCACAGTGGAGCTATAGCACGGATGACTTGAGAGCTTTCCAGACATGGACCCGAAAGATAGACATATGGAAGATTCAGATCTCTGCCTATTTGCCACCCAATGAGGCAGCGATGTTGTTGTACGGGAGCTTGAAGGGCGAAGCAGAGGAAGAATTGGAGTGGTGTGATGTGAGCAAAACCAATGATGTCCGTGGAATCAACTACATAGTCGAAGCCCTGAGGCAGCCGTTGATGACGAAAGCCATCTACTTAGAGAGAAGGTATCTGCATGAAAATGAAAATGGCTATAGTGGGGAAAACACGCATAGAACGCCCATGGAAACTACAGCAGATATAGATCAATGGGCCGTAGAAACATAGAAGAACAGGAAAGGGAAGGAACATCATAGAAGGACAGGACAAGAAAAGAGAAGAGGATAAGAGAAGGGGGAACTCCAGATCCCCTGCAGGTCACATACACACACACACGTGTGGCTATAATGGGGAAAAACACACATAGAATGCCAATGGAAACTACAGCAGATATAGATCAATGGTTCCAAAAAACAGAAGAAAAGGAAAGGAAAGGAACATCATAGAGGGATATAGAGGGACAGGATTTTGAAAAGAGAAGAGGATAAGAGAAGGGGGAACTCCAGATCCCCTGCAGGTCACACACACGCACGTGGCTATAGTGGGGACGAACACACATAGAATGCCCATGGAAACTACAGCAGATATAGATCAATGGGCGTTAGAGACATAGAAAAAAAGAAAAGGAAAGGAACATAAAAGAACAGGACAAGAAAAGGGAAGAGGTTAAGAGAAAAGGGAAATCCAGAAACCCAGAGTACTTTGCAGGTCATAAACATGTGGCCAGCACAGAATGCGGGCACCATAATATAACATGTTTTATATATAATGTGTTTACATATTAGTCTGTAATTGTCCATTTTTTTTTGAGAAAATAAGTTTCTTTCCGCCAGCAAATGCTGATGTAAATATGTATGCATAGATTTTGGGGGCAATTCACCAAAATAGCCAGAGCTTCCCTCTGTGCAAGAACCCGGCCAGAAAAAGAACAAACACATTAATTACCTGAATAATATTCAGAAACAGTTCTCAGAAACAACATAGGTCCAAAAGAAAGTGGTTCAAAAGTCAATTAAAAAACTGCCACAAGAGCAAAGATACAATGGTAGCAGGCAGTGGGCTGAGGATACACTTAGAATGCGCCCAGCATGTGGTAAGAAAAAACTTGAGACTCTTAAAAGAGGAAAACCGCCAACAAAAAGCAGAGCCGCGCCGCAAAAACAATCCACCACGCAGCAAGGGAAAAAATCCCAGGCCGTTTTTGGCAAATACCATTTCAATAAGCCCCTCAAAATAAGATGTTGAAAGTAGAAAACCACAAAATCCAAGATCCAGCTGAGTACAGTAAGCACCTGGCGTCGAAAAAAGTGTCAGTGTTCTTTCCAGCCTCTTTCTCCTGATCCTTACTGGACCAATGATACACTTAGAATGTGTCTGCAGCAAACCTGTTGTGTGAATCAGCTCAACCCTGTTGGGAGAGAAGTCCAACTGGAAAACCTGAAGCCACATACACATACCAAATAGACATACAGTAAATAAAGAAAAATGATGGCAACAACGAAGACAAACAAAACCCCGAGATGAAAGAAAAACACCTTGGAACCAAAATCCAAGGCCAGCCAAAAAAAATCATGTCCATGAAAAATGGTTCAGAAGTCAGTTGAAGGCAAAGGGCAGCTACCAACTGCCAAAGGAGCAAAGCAACAATGGTAGTAATGGGCTGAGAATACACTTAGAATGCGCCCAGCATGTGGTAAGAAATCAACTTGAGACTCTCGGAAAGGAATGCAGCAGAGCCGCCCACGCAAAAGGATCCACAACGCAGCAATAAACTGAGTCCAAGGCCGTTTTTGAAAAACACCATGGAAATCCCAAGCTAGTCAAGATATCATTTATTTCTTGTGTTGGATTGGTGGGACATTCTAAGTGTCGCAAAGGTCAGCAGGAAGGGACAAAAATCGCCAAGGAAGGCATAAGTCACATGGAAATCAGCAAAAAGCAAAAAAACACGTACCCCCAAGACCCTTGAATTCTATGTGTCAGATTTTTCGCAGCATTCTATGTCTCAAACGGGCCGGCTATGTTTCCAAAAGGTCATTCTATGTTTCGTTTTTCTGGTATATCTTGTTCAGTTATCTCTTACAGAGAGTTTGAACAAAGATCCTATTTAAGATTTCTTACCAAGATCTTCATGGAGATTTATTTTGGACACCTTGCACAAATAGCCTCACAAAGGGATCCGGCACAGCAGCTTCTACAGAGAACCTGTCACGGAGATCTTGCACACGATCTTTTACAGAGATCTTTACAAAGGGAACTTGCAGAATCTAACCTGGTATCTCTTGGTCGCAACGCTGTGTGGGGTCTCTTGCCGGGATATACCAGGATAGTTTCATTTGATTTTGTGAGGGCGTTGCAGTGGAACGTATTTGCGCCTTCTTGAAAATTCGTGAGCACGAGTAACTTATTGTGCGCCTGCTTTGCAAAAACAGTTGTGCCAACGCAAAACATTTTTGCAGCTGCAGCATGAGTGTGCACAGACACCAGCGGCAGGACAGTTCAGATTCTAGCGACAGTTGTGACATTCAAAGGCTGCACATCACTGACTATGTGACAAACATCTTGACGATGCTGATAGCCGCATCCTTGGGCTGACTCATCCTTCAATCGTTCAGTGATACTCTGTTGAGCCAGCCAGAGTTGCCAGTTCCTGTTTTGATTCAAACAGTTTGCCACTTCAAGGTTTGTCTGGTCAATCATCCTCGATATTTCTATGTGCTCCTTTTAGCGTCGCTTCCCTAGCGGGGACTGCAACTTCATATACACATATATAGAGTCACATAGTGGGTGATCGAAAATTTCCATGCTGGCTGTGACTTCTGAGGCATTTGGTCATAGGTTGTTTCTGTACATGCTCAGCCTTCAGACGTTTGGACAGCTGCATTTCATCATGCCAGTTTGTTTAAACAGAGCAGTTTTCAACACTTCATCAGTTTTGACCATTTCGAAGGAGTGGCAAAGATGGTGCTGTGTGCCCTTTATCAATTTTTTGATCATGGTCTCAAGCTTAGACTGTTGCCGCGAGCGTAGCCCCTCTTTGGGGCAAAACAGAGCGCTGCACAGTTGCCGCTTGAAAATGTGCTGCAACACCAAAATTGAGCGCTGCATGGGAGAGGGTGTTTCCATGTTAGTACGTGGGAGCCCACATTGTGGATTGTGGAACCCACGAATTTGATCAAAATTGTGCATCTACTCTGAAGATCACAGGACGACAGGATTAGTGTTCGAGGCCATGCTGCTTGCACATGTTTGAACGTTTTTTATGCCAATTGCCTTTTTGAATGTCTCTTTAACTCCTCGTGACAGCCCAGCAAGGTCGTTTGCATGGGATTGATGCAAGGGGTGCAGCTCTGCATGGCCCATGAGGTGGCAGTGGATTGAAATTGGGTTGAAATGTGTGACCAGAAAAATCACGAAAAGACAAAAACATATCAAAAAAGTAAAGGGCGAAGTGCAGACACACTTCAGGTAGATCCAGCACATGATAGCGCTTGGTGTGCGGCTGTCCATGGGTCTTGCTGCAAACTTGTATAAACTTCTGCTTGGAAAGAAAGAGATGCAGTCGATACTTGGTGCAACTTTCTTTTCGGACAGTGGTTTGTTTCTTTGTTTGTGTGTGGATGTTTGCGTTGCCATACAGTACGGGTACCTACTTCCTGGATGATTTTGGTACGTTTAAAATAATCTTAATTAGTTGCGTCAAAGTGCCTGGTCTGGAAAATAGGGCAGTTTGACACCATGCACGCAGGACTACATAAGACGACGAGCGCGTTTGCTGGGCAGTTCAAGCGCCAACGAGATGCAGGCATGTAATGTCGCACGAATGCTGTGAAACATTTTGTGAGACATTTGATGAAGCATTTGATGAATATCTTATGCAACGGTTTTATTGTTCTTAAAGAGAAATGTCCTACCAGATCAGCTGTGCTGGGCTGTGCTGCGCAATGCTGTACAATGCCGCTATACGACATGATGCTCCACCAAGTCAATGAATCCAACAAGCAAACCCTGCAACCCTTTGAAGCTGTTCCAAGTGAAAGAAGGATTTTGTGACAATACGACAGCCATTCTTAGTGATTTAGTGCGAGTGGGGAGGCCAGAAAGGGACCTGTGAAATTGAACTCAAAGCGCAGCCATATTCCAGGGCCCAGGATAGAATAAAGAACGCTTTGACTGCAGTGCAACGCAGTGCAGCTTTCAAAATCAGGTTCCAGCTATGATGCCAGCTCGATTCCACAGCAAGGCCAACCTTTTGACTCGGGACAGGGTTTGGAGGCCCTTGGTCCCCCATGATGTGGTTTCTAAGTGTTTCTACAGTAAAGCATCATTTTGAGCTACACTGGGTATGTTCGTGTCATTTCATGTCATTTCATGTCATTTATATAATGTCATTTAATGTCAATGTAAGGCAACCCAGATACCCGTTACTACCGTTACTTCCTTTCCATGGAGGCGATGGATGGCCTGCTCGAAGGGAGTGTCTTTGCCTACGTCTCAATGTATGCGTTGTTGAAAGACAACTGGGCAGAGTCGATGCCTCAAGCCGATTCAAGTCCTGGGTTTGGAGCAGGTGCAGCTTTGACATTTGATATATGTGATATGCTTTGGAAATCGTTGAAGTGCATCCACCATTTGAGTTGGATGCAAGATGATGAAACATGGTGAAAACAATTGCAGCATTTTGTAAAGCCCAAAACTGCCTGAATCATCTGAATCCTGGTTTGTGCACAAGGCCCCGTTTCAATCCTGTACTTCTACAGGAGGACAGTCATGCCATAGACATCGAATCTTTCGCATTTCATTTGAGTGAGTCGAGGACTGGTACACCCCGTGCCTGTACATCGGGGCATTCTGTAGCATGCTGAACGTTGGGTTGGCCCTCGTGGAGGCTGGCATTTGTACGAGTATCAATAGGTTAAGAATTGCTTAGCTGGGCATAGCGGGGCTATCGCTCTGGTTGCCTAGCAATTTGGCTTTTTAAGACGACGCCATTCTTTCGAGTATTGGCTTGTCCTCGTTTGGCTTCCTGCTCCGCCGAGCGGGCGATAATAAGACTACATTGGCGATATCTTATGCCATGTTTGCCTCTGATGCGATGTCCTCATATCATCGATATCGCCAGATTGACCACCGAACTTCAGCCTGTGCCCAGATCTCAGTCAGTATCTGATCCCCAAATTTTGATTTGTCCACTCTCCTGGAAAGGAAGCGAGAGCCTAATGGTGACCTAATGAGACACTGCCAGATACAAACTGTCTTGGATGCGAACCATTCTCCATTGGCCTCTACAAGACACTTGGCGACGGGTCCTCATTCTTTCCGACAGTAGTTGCCAGACATCAGAGTTCAGATGTGTTCCTGGTGTAGCCGTGTAGCATTTCTTCCCAAGCTGAAGCACAGGTTCAGAGCTGCAGAATTTTCTATGAGGCTTTTGACACTTCTAGTGGGGACCCTGGATGAGCCGCCACAGATGCTTGCTTTGAAAATTTTGTGAGCATGGACCGCGGGCGTTCAACTTCAACCTCCAAGGCTTTCTGCACATTCATGCGTCCATTGCGATTTTGGTGGATTGCCTACGTTCCATCCTGAAGGGTGCTTTTGATGTGGGACATGGCATAAGTTCGAACATTTGCAGTGAGCAAACTTACACCTGCTGGCAAAGCCAGCGAACGAGACAACAGTGGGGATCATTGGTTGGTAGTTTAAAATGACTTTTGAAAGGATAGAATATCTCAAAATGAAGCATGCGGTAACATGCCGCAACCAATCTAACTAGAGACAGCGCAAGGCAGGTGGCATAAGTGTCCAAAAGGAACACAGGAATGCCGGAATGCCCAAAAGACTTTGCCCATAGGAGTCGAGTTTGTCGATTCATCAGATGTTTAGTCCATTCGCTTGCTGTGACCAACATCGTCCATGGGCCGGCGTTTCTGTCAGCAAACTTGTCGTCGTTTTTTCAAGGATGGCTTTTTTGGTTGGTGTTTTTTTGTTTTTTGTTTTCCAGCCTGGCTTTGTGGCTTTCGGGGCTTTTGTGGCTTCTGTGGCTTTTGTGGGTGTGTGGCTTTTCTGGTGCTTTACCTACCTATATAGTCTATCTAATCTAACATAATCTAATCTAACCTCATGTAATCTAACCTCATCTAATCTAACCTAACCTAATTTACTCTAATCTTGTGTTATCTAATCTCATCTAATCTTATCGAATCTTGACTCATCTATCTAAACTATCTACCTAATCTATCAAATTATGGATCTATATAATCTAATCTCATCTCATCTCATTTGACCTGATCTGATCTGATCTGATCTGATCTATCTGATCTATCTGATCTATCTGATCTATCTGATCTATCTGATCTATCTGATCTATCTGATCTATCTGATCTATCTGATCTATCTGATCTATCTGCTCTATCTGATCTATCTGATCTATCTGATCTATCTGATCTATCTGATCTATCTGATCTATCTGATCTATCTGATCTATCTGATCTATCTGATCTATCTGATCTACTATCTGATCTATCTATCTATCTATCTACCTACCTACCTATCTATCTATCTATCTATCTATCTATCTATCTATCAATCTATCTCTCCCTCGCTCTCTCTCTCTCTCTCTCTCTGTCTCTCTTTCTCTCTCTCTCTACCTAGCTAGCTAGCTAGCTAGCTATCTATCTTTATCTATCTTCATCTATCTTTATCTATCTTTATCTATCTTTATCTATCTTTATCTATCTTTATCTATCTTTATCTATCTTTATCTATCTACCTATCTATCTATCTATCTATCGATTATCTATCTATCTATCTGTCTATCTATCTATCTATCTATCTAAATATCATATATCTATCTATATTCCATTATCTATCTATCGCTCTATATCCTATTATCTATCTATCTATCTATCTATCTATCTATCTATCTATCTATCTATTGCCAAAGCCTCCAGGGTTCCATCACGAGACCTCGCGAAAGTTTTTTTTCTGAGTCCGCGAGAGTATTTTTTTCGGCGAACGATTTTGCGAAAGATTTTAACATGAGACCCCCGCGAAAGACCCGCGAAAGATCAACGTGGGGTTCGCCCAAGATTCGCGAATATATTTCTATTTGCGAAGAATGGCCGTTTGCAGATAAAGGAATTTAGAACAACCGCCTAATATATTGTAGAGTGTAGAGATAATTTATTCTATTTTTTTTCCTTCTCTATTTCTTCCTAACTTCTTCCCTATGCTCTACTACTGTACTTTTACGTCTCGTCTACAGTTCGTTCTCTTTTCTTGCTTGCTTTGCTCTTCGCTTCTTGCCTCCCACTTGACTTTACTTACTTTTCTCTTCCCCATTTTGTCCTTCACTTCCCTTCTCTATTCGACTCTTCTCTGCTAGTCTCTAATTTCTTTACTCTTCTCTGCCTAGGCAGGGTTGCACAACACCAAAAGAGACGCTTTCGTCGGAAAAATTCACGCTTCCAGTCACATTTACTCTTTGGGCCGAAACATAGAGCCCCATTCCATCCTATTCCTTCATTGCGCCGCTAAAAGCACCTATCCAAATTTGCATCTTGCGGCAAATTGCAACTCAATATTCTCTTTGCTGCTAGGAAAATTAGGAAATTAGAGGTTTGTCCTGTAGAGTACAACCAGTAGGTCAGTAGGTGTGACCTGGAAGAACCAGAGGTGTCAATGTGCCCATGGCTGCAGCCGGTCAATGCTGACGTGTCCTACCGGCGCCAAAGGTTTTAGTTGCAGCTGACTACATTTTTGGGGCCTGCAGCTCGGGTGTTTTTGGACGGTCTGACTGTCACATGCTTGAAACACCGCAGAACATTCGTTCATATTCGTTCAACAATGTTCAACATAAGGTTGCACTTCTGATCATTTTGGGTGGTCGAGACCCAGTGAAGGAGGCGCCTAGGTTCTTGTAGTTTGTCAGTATCAAGGGCTTGTGTCTGGAAGACACAGGGAAAGAGTCACTAGATTTGCCTCTACAGGGAAAGAGTCACTAGATTTGCCTCTTGCAACATGCCGAATCGTTGAACAGAATTCAGGCTTGCATAGTGTTGGGATTGCCGCTCTTCATGGTCAACATCATGCAGTTTCATGGTGGCATGCAGACAGACAGTTTTTGTGCTGCCTTGTTTCTTCCGAACTAGCATGGTGTGACTCGTTCAGATGGTGTTCGGATAGCTGGAGAGACAGGATTTTCAGAGACAGAATTATATATATAAAACCACAGAGCAAACGGAACACCACACTGTTCCACGGAACACCACACAGTTCCTCCGCCTCTGAGATTTGTTGATGCTCCGGGAATGAGTCTCCAGGTACGGTGCTTAAGTAGACAAAGCATGCAAAAAATGTCAAAGCACTTTCTGTTTTTTTTTGCGTTCGTGTTCGATCACAACGGCAACATATTATCAAAATAACACGAACAAAGAAAACAGACGAGGATGGCAGAGACAGCAGAATGCAATGCGTTTTTGCAGGCGAGACAAATTTCTGAGATCATGGTGCCACTCCGAAGTGCAGAGCTTGCTGGAGCGCCTTGGCGTTTGGAAAGCACAGATTGGAGAATGGCCCAAGATGGACCAAGATGGCTCAAGATCGGCTTTCTACAATTCTATTTCAGGGATCTTCAGGGACGCTCTTTGGTAAATTCCAATACGATTCAAGAAATGCATCTCAGGGGTAGAGGGCAAAGGAAAGCCAAAACACACCTATTTGATGATCTGATGTTCTTGAGTGCAGATGGCCGAGCAATTTTCGATTCAAATGGGATCACCTTGCGCAAGTAAGGTTTTACTATTCTGCGTTTTTTGCCCAGCCAAAATCCGGGTGCTGCCGGCACGCTTTGTTGAGATTTCCCAAAGGTTCTATTGTTTCTTGACAAGTAATCGTCATAAGTTGCACGCATTTGTCTTGGGCTTGGCCACTTGGGCCAAGCCTCGGTAATTTGTCTTCAACCAATGTGCCCAAGAGCCACACAGTACCAACTGGCTGACTTCCTTCGCAGGTCAGACTGAGCACACGGTTTCCCAAGCACTCCATATCCCCTCTATATTTCCCACTTCGGAACACGATGTTTTGGTTTGATGTTGCATTTTCAGGGGTTCTTGGCGCCGAGTTGTTCACTGCACTAGGGTACCAGGACTGCTTTTGGCTCTTTGGCTTGTTGGATCCCATGGTATACCGGGGGCGATGAAGCGTGGAGGGTCGAGACGGTGCACACACTGACCTTTGTGGTCTCTCTCTCTCTCTCTCTCTTCACCTTTGTGGTGCACTTGTCGACCTTTATGGATTCCCACACGGCCACAGGGCCACACGGTCTCTTGTGACCAATACGGAGGGGCTATGCGGCTATGTATCCGGTGTTTTGATGCACAACCTGTGCACACTCATCGACCATCCCCGCACAGTGAATCCAGTGGGTCCTTCCGTGTGCCCGCTGTTGTGGATAGCGTCCTTTGACGTACGCACGGTTAATTTGATGCCAATTTTGTTGGACAACACTTTCTGATTGGATCGGAAGTGTGCTGTTGGCAGGACATGCTTTCTTTCATTAGTTCTGAAGTGCAGGATACCCGTTGACCTACGTGCTGTTGAGCCTTTGTTGAGCCTTAAGCTCGTGGGAATTTATGACTTCGTCAGGTTTTCGAGACGCGTTTGATCGTCTCCGCCAGGGCTCCAGGTCGTCACTTCTCAGCTTGTTTTTGCATGTGAGCGGTACTGCTTGTGCGGTACTCCTCAAGACCAAGATTGTTGGATCCCATGGTATTCATAACTCACTACCACTTCATTGTGGATATTGTTGCTTCCGGAACAAGTTCCACTTTAGCCAGTAAAAAAGCGCAACTGCCTAAGAGCAACAGTAACGATAGGCGACAGCAGCAGCAACAACAGCAATAACAACCCTTAAAATCACAGCAGAGATGACAAGGACAGGAAAGACAAGAAGCATCATGCGAAGATAAACCTCCTGCTGCACCACTGTGTTTGCATGTCTGCATTCCAAACGGATTAGGTAGAGGTGTTTCGTTTACCCCTTTGCATTCTCGTGCTAAGAATGTCGGCTGTAGACACAGATTTTAGTTGAAAACCGATGCAGGGCCGATTCCAGATCAGATTGACTACTACACAGATGATACATGTTTTATCACCGCATGTTCTTGCGCGATGGACGGGCTTTTGAAAGATGTAGAAGTAGTGCCTAATTATGCAAAAATCCTCTGTCTGAACGGGGGAAAATATTGTTTTAGGGGGGTTAGACATTGTCTGGAAATTATGTTTTGTTTTTGCGTTTTTTTTAAAAAAATATATGTTTCCCTGCTTGTTTTGCGTTTATATTATGTTTTTCTGCTTTTCTTCCTTTCCCTGCTTCTTTGCTTCTCCACTGTTCTGCTTCTTTGCTTTTGCTTTTCTGCTTTTCTTCCTTTGCCTGCTTCTTTGCTTCTCCACTGTTCTGCTTCTTTGCTTTTCTGCTTCTTTGCTTCTCTGCTTCTTCACTGTTCTACTTCTCTGCTGTTTTCTGCCTTTTTGCTTCTCAAGCCTAAATAAACCCTAAGATGCACAATACACATAATGCATCCTGAACCAACCGTAAATAAATCCCAAACCGACCCCAAAAAAACTCAAGCAACTCTAAGTAAACCCTGTAAAAAAAAAGCAACATCTGAAACTTACCCCAAACAAACCCTAAATAATGCCAAAGGAACACCCCAAAAAAGTAAAAGCAACCTTAAGTACCCCCTAAACAAACCTCTGAAATTTACAGTAGCGAAAGAAAACTGAAAGTTTTCGGCAGGACAAGAACTGGTGTCTGGGCCGGCTATTTTGGCTCAAGCACCTGCTGCCCAGACACCAGTATGACTTTCTTTGTAGTGGTCATTTGGTGTGCGGTCAGCCAGGTCTTTTTCAATGTTCCCTCCGCAATCGACTGCCATGCGGATGACTGCAATCTCCGACTTGCGCCAGCACTACGGCCTCCCTGGGCCTCTTTGGCAATCCTTTGTGAATGTGGCCGGGAATCCGGGGGAGGACCTACGTTTGCTTGCTGTACTTCCACCCCACGTGGTTTCAGCGGCATTGGAGAGGGCGCAGTTGGAGGACGGATCATTCCTGACGGCAGTGCAGGCTTCCCATGTGGGGTTGGTATATTCCCTTGCAAAGAGGATCCAGCACACGAGAGGAGGCGGCGACTGGGAGTCATGGAAATCGCCTTCCGGAGGGGAACAGCCATTGCAGAGCCGGGGGACACGATGGTAACTACTACACCCACGGCACCTTCATCAGAACGGAAACTGAAGATGACCCAAATATTGGACCAGAACGACGATGGAGAGTTCACGGTACAGAACGAAGAGGCTCGAGCAAGGTGGTATCAGCAATATATCGCCGTTGTCGGCGGATGGCCGTTGGAAGAGGAGGAGCCGACGATGGAACAGCTGAGCGCATTGGAAAAGCGCCTGCAGGTCCAGAACATTGCACCCTACCGTGGACTTCGCCATCTACGTACCCTATTGTCAAAGGGCTTTGAAAGCATCAAAGTTCAGGACATACACTGACCTTGACCTTTCGAGGGGTACGTGACGAAGGAATTGCCGGGTCCATCAAACTTCACCATGTGGAGGACCTGCTTCAGGCTGCTTCGAACTTCCCTCATAATGTTGGATGCAGCTGGACTTGCAGCCCTTCACAACTACGAAATGCAGATGGAGCCCAGGTTTGTAGCCAAGCAAATAGGCATTTCGGGCGCACTTTTAAAGCCATGGCGGGCTTGTTCAAAGCCATGCTGGCGGTGCTGGCCCTGTGCTGCGGAGGTGAGATGAACAGAGATGACGATGGACAATGGTTTGTGCAATGCCGGGTGTATTGCATCTTACTCACTGTCCCTTTTTTTTGCGCTAGCTACTTCGTGAGGTATCAATTCGTTGCATTGAATTTGAATTTTGACGTCCTTGCAATCTTTTCTGGTGTGTGTATGGGTATGGCTGCGGTTTCAAGACGTTTGTGCAGTAAAGCCGGTAAGATTGAATGGATGATGCAAAGTTGGAGCCGGATTTTCCACATCGTGAACTTGGTGAGGAAAACTGTGTGTGGGAGAAAAGTGTGGTGGCCTCTCTTGAAGATTATGGTGATTTTAACAGGTTGTGCTTGTTTTTGCTGGCTTGAGTCACCGTGGAGCTTCAAGTTCTATCAGCGCTTCGTGGCTATGTGGTCCACTGCTTGGATGCATTTGTGGGACCTTTGGGGCTCTTTTGCTGCTTTTGTATTCTTCCACGTCAAAGCCATGATTTTGCAGACTCATGCTTCGTGTGTTTCTGGACACACCGTGGATGGTTTTCAGGCAACTCCTGGATTCGAAATACCGGTGAATTGCGTTGCGCAGATGGTTGACACGGATTTCAAGCCAACTTGGAATCATGGTTTGCTGTCAGCTGTGGCGATGATGTCTTATTATTTCGTGACCCTTTGGCAATTTTGCTCCACTAGGACATGCAAGCTTGTTTCATGGGGGAGCGTTTTTACAATGATGATTTCTGGGTTGGTTTTCTGCAACCGATCTCTTTGCCATGTCACGCAAAGGCCTCAGATTGCTGAGGTTGTCTCTGCAGTGTCACAGTGGTGCCAGCAGTTTCAATTCACAGGTGCCGATCTTGTTTGTTTAGGCCTCAGTTTAATTTGTGTGCGATGTTTCAGACAAGCCGTCATTTGGAGTTTCCAAACCAGACATGATGCTTCTGTTGCATACATGCAGAAGCACTTTTTGCGAAATGCCGCGGTCGTATTTTGCTTGCATACTTGTTTGTCCAATCCGACCAGCCTCTCTTTCGTTTTCGCCGGGGCCTACAAGGTCCTTGTCCTGATGTGCGGAAAGAAGAGAATAGTAGGTTGTGGAATAGCACTCCTTGGCATCATGCTCATGCGAATGTTGTTTTCAATGCATCGGTTCCTCACATGGAATGCACAGAAAGCGCTGCTGTGGTTCTGTCATCTGGCATGCAAGATCATGGTCATCGCTTTCTTTTTCCGAAAGCTGTTGACTGAACCTTCTTTTGTGAATCTGCTTTTGATTGGTTTAGGGGTTGACATCATCGATTTGGTGACATTAGCTGCTTTCAGGATAATGCTGTCACTTCACCATTTGAATGCAAGGCCAAAGAAAGTCTTCAAGTGCAGAAGAGTTGGCCGAAAGCGCTGCCGATTGCATCGTAAGTGCATCCGAAAGCCAAGAGTCAGTTTGTTTAATAGGGTAGGCCGTTTCCTGTCCTTTTGCGTACGTGCGCAGTTTTGCCCATTCTGTCAAAACATGCCTGAGCATTCGCAAACCTCCCGGCCCAGATCTTCCTTCCGCGGGGGAGGTCGTAGAAACAGTCCAGGGACACCGGAACAGAAACTGCTGCAAGGTTTGCAGATTTTGTTGAAAGATACTTTGCAGGCCTCTAGCTCCGGAGCCTCAAACAAAAAAGGCAAGGGTAAGGGCTCCGGCAAAAGTAGTGGTAAAAGCCTACCTTCCAAACAGAGAGATGCGAACCATGATGGCAGCTATGGGCTGATTCAAGCCTTGCAAAAGCTAACTGCCCGAGCCGCAAAGAAACCACAAGGGTTGCTCCAAAGGTTGAAAACATTGGTTCAAGTTACTGAACGTGGTATGTTGCGACCAAACAAGAGAAAGAAAGATCTGCCGCCGCATGAGGCGGTCCCGCCAGTGAAACCAAGCACACGATTCAAAAGTTCAGAAAATTTGGTAGATGGTGCTCCTAAGCCAAAAACACGATGGCAACGCGACAGATCCTGGAAAGCCCGTGCCCAGGACTGGGGCGTCAAAACTGTTTTGCGTGGCCCCACAGCTCTGTGCAACGCTCTTGACAGTGGGGACACCGGTGCTCTCCTGTGTCAAGTACAAAATCTGGATGATTGGAATGAAGCCCTCCAAATTTCTCATGCTGCTGGTCGCACCAATGTCACGGTTGTTCTTGAAGCTGCACCTAACATGTCTCCAGAACTTGGCAAATTGAGATATCATGGTTGGACAGCCTTGAACACACGTGCAGCTGGTTATGCCGATGATAAATTGGTCCAGCGCTTGGTTTGGATTGCGCGGTGCTCGCCAAATGCACCCACATTGGTTCCAGGATCCGTGCTGACAGGCGCCAGGCGGCCTGTTGTCCAGAAACACGGCCATGAAGAGTCTTTTGTTTTTCGAATTAGTTGTGACATGCGATTTATTGCCAGTGACAATCGCCATCATATCGCACAGGGACCTGGGATTTTTTTTCGTTTGTGGCTGTCTGATTTAGGCCCAAACGCTAGGGATCTTCTGCTTCACCTTGGTGACACGTGGGGATTCCAAAAACTCGAGGCTGAAAACCTGGTTCGAGGATTTGCTCGCGTCAAAGGCAAAGACAGGGCCCTGCAGTTGATTAAAGCGAGCGGCTCAGAACACAAAGGTCAGGTTTGGTTTCTTGATCCTGCCAGATGGGATGGCCTCGCAGAAACACCTCCACGCATGCTTTGGGTGGACAAATTGGAAAATGAACAACAAATTGCATTTGCTCGTCGCGTAGCTCATGATTCGGGTCCTTTTGGCATGGCTAGGGGTCGTGTACAGCTGGCTCTCAGGGTCAAACCAGACGATGAGCGGCTCAAACCCACTTCTAGTGTTTGGCGGGTTGAGACAGTGCCGTTTGGTTGGGATTTTGAAAATGTGGAAGAAACTCTGGTTGAAGCAGGTTTCTCTGAAATTGATATTTTAGCAAAGCAACGCCGTCGTGGTGGCACTGCTTGGGTTTTCAAAGGCATGAGAAATGATGACCGTGATCAAATGCAAATCCATTATGATGCGGACGAGACGTGCAATGAGCCACCATTAGATCTGTTTTTAGTTAAGCAGTCCAAACGACGTGCGCCAGGAAATGTCCAGCCGTTGAAAGCAGAAAATGATGTGCTCTTTTGACTAGATGCATTTCACAAAAAAGGTAAGGGTAAAGGCAAAGGAAAAGGCAAGCACAAATCCAAGCTTGAAGTGCCTGACTTTGCAACCACGCTTGCCTTACCGAAAAGTAGTCCACCTCCATTTCCCTCCAAGGATGATCGCGGTAACGAAGCTATGGATGTCAGTCTGATTAGCGTCCCAGATGCAAGTGATGTTGAGGATGAGCCCATGCATGTCCAGGGCACCAAACGCAAAGACCAGGCCATGTTGACCAGCCCGCAAAAAACTGGTCATGACAAAAAGAGGATGAAAGTGCCCGAGAGGCTTCAAAAAGTTCCGAACCCTGGGGAAGGGAATTGCTTGTTTTACTGTCTAGCTCAGGCGGAGTCTACCCCAGGTAAGTCCCGCAGCCACAGGCAGGTGCGTGCATTTGTTGTTGCCTACATGACCAAACACTTCAAGAAATACGAGGATTTCTGGGACGGTTTAAGCCCGAGCAACATTCCCATGGAGGGTGGGTTTGACGATTATTTACAAGCCCTTGAAAAAGATAAAGCTTGGGCGGGATATTGTGAAATCGAAGCATATGGCGAAGCCATGCGCCGACCTGTACTTGTTGTGCATGCCAAGGACAATGTTGTCCATGCTTTTAATAGTCATGGCGATAAGGATGTTGTCTGTCTCTGGTACAAGGATGAACATTATGAGCTTATTGTTCCTTCAGACGCAGATATTCAGGCCCTGTGGCAGAATGCTGAAGACGGTGGCACCAAGGGTTACCGCGGGGCCGCAAAGAAGGCACGCTTGGCTGCCGACAATGCCTCTATTTGCCTTTCACAATTTGCAACTCCCAAATCCAGCAGGCCAAGCCCAAGGTTGACCGATTTTGCCCAAAGCACCCCTGCCAAACGGAGTGCATGTCTGACTGATTTTGCATCAACGGCCAAACCGAGCCGTCAAAAGACCGAGCAATCAGAAGCCGAGCCATGTGGTTCCAACCCATCTGCCGCATCAGCTTCTGCGTCTGTTGCCACTGGGCGCGACCGGGAAATCACGTGGACATGTCACATTTGCAATGTCTCTTTCACTGACAAAGCATGCATCGTTTCAAAAAGACGTACGGATCACATTAGGCGTACGCATCGTGGTACCCCAACCACCAATTTTAAAAAGGCTGTTGATCAGTACAGGGCTCCGGTTACTGCCGTATCGTATGGGCCCACTCATGCTGCTGTTTCTTGGACTTGTGGTTTTTGCATGGGCACCCTCCCCATTTTGCCTAAGACACATCAGAAAGCATCAATCGTTGCTCATTTGCGCTCCTGCGCCAAGGCCCCAAAAGGGGCCACCAGAGGCGACTCCATTCTTCGCCTTTGCAAGAGAGCAAGCGTGTCACCTGATGTACCTCACAGAAGCATTTTGCCTTGGAAGCTGAAGCATCGCCAGATGTATGTGCAACTCAACAAGTTTGCCAAGGAGCAAGGACACTCCCTATCCCAAGTGCAGAGACGTACTACTGGAACGAAAAAATTGGCTGGTGGGTCGAAAAAAGTTATTTTCTTCATGGCTCAGCATGCTTGTTCCATTTGTGCTGGTTACTGGAAAACTGAGAAGTCCGTGAGAGCTGCAGGTCCTTGTGGCGGGCGGACTGCTCGTGCCGAGTGGTTAGCCATGCCTGGTCGCCAAAAATGCTGGCGTCAGGCTCCCAAAGAGCGCCAAGAGGCGCTGCACAAGGCTTGGCGTTTGAGTGCTACTGAGCGTAGGAAGCTTGATGATGCTTGGGCTAGCGCCAAGAAAAAGTCGCGCAAGAAGTGGCCGCCTAAGTCATGGAAACGCGATTTGACTGCTGAGAATATACACCCCCATCCAGGCCCAGGCCACCCTGACCACTGGATTCTCTCGTGGAATTGCCGTGGATCGTGCAATGCTTGGAGGGGCCTAAACTTGCTTCAGGATGAGGGTAATTTGCCTTCTGTTTTATGTCTTCAAGAGCCTGACTTCGAGCCTCGTCAAGGCTCCCAGTATGTTGAAAGGCTTCAGAAACTTGGGTACAAGTGTTGGACCATTCCGGCCAAACCTATTCGCACACTTAAACGTGAATTTTACCGAGGTGGTCTTTTGGTTGCATTGCGAGAGCATCTCAGAGGAGGCATCTGGGACACACTGGCTTGCGATGAAGGGTATGTCATGACTTTGGATCTTCAATCGTGCCTACTTTCCTCAGTTTGGCGCCGGCCAAGCCAACTTGATGGTTTGCAATTTTTGGAATATGTTGCTACGGTCACTGAAGAAGCACAACGCAGGCAGATACCTGCACTTTGGGTAGGTGATTGGAACGAAACTACTGATGACAACGCCGCATCCATTTTCTTGAATGGCAGTGTTCTGGCTGTCACGGATCCTGATCAATGGGTGCCTAGCCGGTTCGAAGGTAAAAGATGTCTTGATTACGGAATTCTCAGCGGCGGGTACGGTTTTGCTGATTGCCCGCGTTACAGTGAATGTAAGATTTCTGATCACAAGATGTTTTGGCTTAGATTGCGCTTGCCCATTTTCCAGACTGATACGTGGAGGTTCGCTTGGCGGCCTAACTATGAATGTCCTCCGGAAGTGCCTGTTGAGCAATGGCGGGCCGTGCTTGCAGAACAATGGGCCGCTTACGTGCCATGTTTTTCTCAGGATCCCGACCAAGATTGGGCATATTTTCACCAGTTTGCTGAAAAGAGCATGCGTGAAGCATTGCACTTGTGTGGCCAGCCCGTGCCTAGGCCAGGCCATGCGCGCGGGAATTTGCCTCGTGTGATCAAGGCTGAACGCCCCCAGGTGAATACGTTCCCTGCCAGAAAACTTGTTAATGTGCTTGGTCGTCTCTATGAAGTGAAGCGACAGTTAGCCAAGTCCCAGGGAGACAAAAAGCTTTTGCAAAAATTATGGTCGACTTGGCCGTCTGAATACAATGAGCTTTGGGGGTCTTGGAACCACGCTATTGAAGTGTTTGAACAACGCATTGCGCTTGAAAACAGGAAGTCCAAGAACCAAAGGCTGACCGAGTGGCGTACCAGAATGCGCCAGGGGAGCAAAGAGGTGACCCGGTGGATGAAGCCTCACAAACCTCCAACACCACGCTCTGTTTCCGAAGATTCTTGCGCCACGATCACGCAAACCCTTGATTGTATTCGTTCTTTTTGGCAGCGTATTTGGAAACGTGATGACCTCGTTCCACACTTACCCCCGGAATTTAGAACAATGGAAGCCCTGGCTGGACCCCAAACTGATTGGATGCCAGATGCTGCCCTCATCCATCAGGCCGCTCTCAGAGCCTCGGGGTCTGCAGCCGGATGTGACGGTTGGTCCGGCAGCGAAGTTTGCCATTTCCCGCTTGTTGCTTGGGATCACTACCGTGATTTGGTTTTGCATTGGTCTCAGTTAAAACAATTCCCACAGGCATGGCTGCAGGTTCGTCAGGTTCATTTAAGAAAGGATGACAGTGGGACTGTAGGGTCTTTGCGGCCTATTGCAGTTGAAAGCATTTTTCTTCGGTTGGTCTCCTCATCTTATGTGAGGACCCCACAGGTTCAGGAATGGATTGCGTCTCGGGTCCCCGAGCAGTGCCATGGAGGCTTGAAATCCCGGGGGGTTGCCACGGCATGGAGGCAACTCAATGAAGCGTTTGAAAACCAGGAAGTTCTTGCTTCTTTAGATTTCTCCAAATGTTTTGATTTTGTCCACCCAGGTTTGGCCATTGAAAACATGCAACTGCAAGGGTTGCCAGATGAGTGGGCTAACATTTTGATGTTTGTATGGGGTCATCAAGTGCGATGGCTGTGCTTGGGGAAAGCTGTGCACCCAACGCCGGAGCATGTCCAGACCTCCATGCCGCAAGGTGATGCCTTTGCACCTCTGGCTCTTATCATGTTGCTCATTAGGCCCCTTCATGATGTGTCTTCCATTCCAGACTTGCGTCAGGTTGCATACGTTGATGATCGCGCTTTGAGCGCGCCTAATGTTCCACGTTTAATTGCTGGCATCCATAGATGGCGCAGCTGGAGTGCCACTTTGGGTCTCCATGAAAACGTTCAAAAAATGCGTTTAGTTGCCTGCACTGCGCATCAAAAGCAAGAGATCAATGACGCAGGGTTTGGTGAGTATCTCCGACCGGCCACTCGGGTCTTAGGTATTGACTTTAAGGAAAGTGACCTTATTGTTTCCCCTGTTCTTGAAAACCGTTTGCAAGAAGCAGTGTTTGCCGCTCACCGTTTGCAGAAATTGCCGGTTGCCCGCGATATCAGGATGTCTTTGTACAGGTCCAGAATCATTTCACTCGCCACCTGGGGCGCTTGGTTTGAACGATTGCCGCAGTCACAGTTGCCTTCGCTTCGAAAGGCATGGCATGCCATTTCCTATCTGCAAGGTAACGCTTCGAGACCTCTTTTCAACCTGCTTGTAGGTCATATGTATCATGCTGAGTTTTGGGCCACCATGTCTTCCATTCGGACCATGCGCCAAGTTCGTGCCCCTTGGCGAAGGGTGCCACGACCTGGAGGCTGGCAGAGTTTCATTTGCGCACGCATGCGAGAGCTGAACTGGGAATTTCGCGGTCCATGGATGTTTGCACATGAGGATTTGGGTCATGTCGATTTATCCAATCCAGATGAAGCTGTTGTGAAACTCACCGAGCACAAGGTGAGAAAAAGTTGGCGCGGAGTGCAATTTTGCCTTTTGAAAAAAGCAGAACCGCCGTGATAGGCATTATTTGCTTGATGTGCCGTATGAGGAAAGTCGTGTTTCCGATGCCCGCAAGTTGTTCTCTCTCACGTGTGATAGTCATCAGAGGGCCGTAATGCTTGGTTCTGCGCATTCCACGGCATGTTATGATAAGATGCGTGGACACGAAGTGAGGGAACAATGTCCCTTTTGCGGTGAGCAAATCCCACCTGTCTGGGAACATCTCTCCTGGCATTGCTCCGCCGAACAGTTGTCTTCCGGCCGCCCTGAGGTCCCTGAAGATGAATTGCAAAATCGTCTTGCTTGGCCCACACGTGGGTGTGATGCCTATGATAGAGCGGTTCTTCACCACATGGCCCGGGTCAGGGCCACTGTGCGTGAAAACATGAATTGATCATGTCCCGTTGGCTGCGGTGTCCGGTACCTTCGGGTATTTGAGGCATCCAGTCGTTCAACCCATAATAATAAGAAATGCAGATGGAGAAGCTGGCAAGACTTTATCCAACATGTTAGGCACCTCATTTACAGCGCCGACGAGGTGGCGAGGTCAGCTTGGGACTACGTTTTTGGAGCCCTCCCGAAGGACAACAACTTCTGGCAGACTCAAGTTCATGGCCCGGCCCTGGCCTGGATAGCTGCTGGAAGCAGAGGTTCACCGAGAACTCCAGCGGAGCAGTTGGCTTCGAACTTTATACAAGGGGGCATCAAAGCCATCACACCGATCAAGGAGAGCGCAGAGGGCACGAAGGAAAACAGTTCACCCGATCCATCAAGGCGCAAGAGAAGAAGAGACAGGAGACAATCCGGAGGTGGAGAAAGCCCTGGAGGCAAAGGCTCAAACTCCGGAAAAGGGAAAGGAGGAAACAAAGGAACCAAAGGCCAAGTCCAGCAGAAGCGCTACAGCTGGAACAACGGAAATGGGCCATGTGGCTCATTGGCGCCGGGTCAATGGTGTCTGGCGAAAGTGACCAGGCTCCATCGGTGCACTATTTGCAATTCCCCTGGACACCCCAGCAAGGACTGCACCAAGAAGGATTGAAACCACGCCGACATGGTGAAGGCGAAGCAAACGATGGTGCCCCTGCTGGAGACAAGTCCAAAGCCAAGGATGAAACGGACTCCTACACCTACACCTATGAGACCGAATCAGATCAAGGTGACGAAGGACAGGACGAGCCAGAAGAAGAAGAGCCCGTCCCACTACAAGCTGACACCCTTGAAGAATATTACAAGAAACGGGTCTTCACGGGTCTTCATATTCATCCATCACCTTGCAGGGAGGACCGATCCACTGACCACCTCTTTACGCGTTGAAGCTCTGGCTCAGGGCATCCGTCTGAAGGTTTCCAGCGTGGAGAAGGAAAGTGGAACAGGTGATCTTTTGGAGGATGAGCCCTACAACAAGCACCTCAGGCGGGCAGAAAGAGGATACGTGGATGGCTACCACGCCGGCTACCCCTGCTCGACCTTTTCGAGGCTTCGTTCAAGGAAAGTAGAAGGCCTTCCAGGACCAGTACGAAGCAAGGAGGAGCCCTACGGCCTGAAGGGCAATACACCGTCGGCTCAAAGGGACGCCGATCAAGGAGCCATAATGGCCAGCAGGGCCATCGACATGGCAGCAGCGGTGGTGGAGGGCCGCAGACTCACGACCACAAGGGCCATCGCAACACTCGAGAATCCGCCACCGTCATGGGAGCTCCCAGAGATGAACAAGTTCTGGAACCTGGGCAACATCGACACGGTGATCTTCAACACGTGTGCCTACGAGGACGACTTGGAGGTCGGCAAGAAGCACTACAAACCTCAGCAGTTCTCAGGCACGCTGAGGGGACTCCCAAGCATGAGCAAGTCCTGCAGCTGTGGAAGCCCCCAAAATCACGACACGATCACGGGTCCAACGAAGTCCAAGGCCTCGGCAACATATCCCATAAACGACCATGAACGCAGCCGTGCAGGGGGCGGTTACAAGGATAGAGAAGGATTTCTACTCCAACTCCTCTCGAGCTGCCAGGTCATCCAAAAGAAAGACTGCAGAAAAGGTGCTCCATGCGGGCGGGCTCACCTATCCGCTCACCCCTTGCGCCTTAAAGTTCTTGGCAGGGACACTCAGAGAGTCGGGGTACAAGTCTGCCTACTCCTACATCATAGAAGCAAAAGTAGAACACATCGAAAGAGGCCACAACTGTTCGGCCCTCCTTGACAGACACTTCAAGCTGTGCATGAAGGCCGCAAAGCGTGGGGTGGGCCCTCGTATAAGAAAGCCCCCGAGATACCTGAAAATCATTGGAGTGCTCACCCATTGTTGCTGGACGACAAGTTCTCGGGCACGAAGGTTTGGCTAGCCAGCCACCTGTTTGCATGCGGTGTTCATTGGGTATTGAGAGAAATAGAGTTATCCAACCTCTCCTCCTCCGACGTCACCTTTGACAATAAGCAGGACGGTGTCAGTCATCTGGCGGGAGTCCAAGAATGACACGGAGGGCATGGGAGTCAAGAGAACCTTGCAATGTCTGTGCCAAGAAGGCTGCGACCTCAAGTGCCCTTTCGCGGTCTTGGAGACTTTGGTGAGCTACGCAGTCCTGAAAGGAAATGAAGGAGCTTATCTCGCAGTCACCAACAAGGGCACGAGGGCAACCAAATCAGACATCATAAAAGCATCGAGAAAACTTTACGGCCCCGACACCACGGGGCACTCAGCACGAAGGTTTGGTGCTCTGCAATACACAAGAAGTGGCTGGGCAGTCAGCCAACTTGGGCAGGTGGAAGAGCAACATCATATTAGAATATGCTCAAGAAGCACTGGAGTCCTTAGCAGTCAACGCCTCCCAGTCCTTTGTCATGACGGAGAAGCTGTCGGAGCTGCTTCGCTCTCAGAACACCATCCCACTCTCAGCACCGGACACCACAAAAGGCGACAAAGCCGACAAAGAAATTGTCGATCGCCTCAAGATGGAACTGCAAAAGTTCAAGCAGGACACGAAGGGAAGCAACGACAGCCTCAGCTCAGCTGTCAAGGAACTTGAAGAGAAGATGAAAACGGCAAACAAATACCTGCCACCCTTGGTCAAGTCCACAAGACACCAGCTGCTGCACAAGAACAACAAAGTTCTGATCTACGCCCCCGCGTGCATGTGGAAAACGATCTGCGGGTGGCATTACTATTCAGCAAACTACACCTTTGAAGAGGGCGAGGACTCGAAGGTGTCATGCGCAAAGTGCCAACTGTCAGCGCAGCAGCAAGGAGGTCAAGTCTGCTGACAGCTGGCAGACCTTTCAAAGCTCAGGACAGAATGTCCGATCAATGGACAGATGTGTCAACTCGACACAAATCTTCGGCCAACAAAACGAATGCTGTCGAGGGGTGGGCAGGATGGAAACTTTCTGACACAGACACAAAGTGATGTCTGCTAAATAAACCCTGCACCAGCCCTAAATTTATCCTAAACCCACCCCAAATAGATCTTAAACCAAGCCTGAATAAAGTTTGAACCAATTCTGAAACTAACCTTAAATAGATCTTACATAAATCTTAAACCACGCCTAAAGAAACCTTAAACCAACCCTACATAGATCCTAAACCAACCCTAACCAACCCTAAGACCAACCAAAAAAAAACAAAACCAACCATCAACAAAAACAAACCAAACCTAAACCAATCCTAAATAAACCCAAAAACAAACCTAAACAAACCCTAAATGGCCCCTAGTCGCAAAATACCATCCAACATGAACAGCTTGAGCACGAAGATGTTGCAAATATCAAGGAAAATGAGGGGTTCGAACTCCCATTGAAATGGCATCTCCCAGCTCCAAAATATTGCAATTTGCAAGAAAAACGGACAGAACAGCGGATAAAAAAAAACGAAAAAAGTAATTCCCAAAACAATTCTGGCACCCATTTTATAGCCATGAATTATGTAAATGAGATTTAACGATGGTGTTAGATTGCAGAAGAAGACGGAAACCGTTTTCTTTATCATTTGTGCCATGATTGTCCGACGACAAGTCAGCTTGAAATTGCGATGGGTTATGCAAGCCTGGTGTGTGTGTGTGAGTGTGTGTGTGTGATATGTATGATGCTACAACTGCTGCTACAACCCATTTTTTTTGCATGGACTGGAAGATGAGCACCTCACTGTGAGTGTAAAAAAGAAAATCAATGCATTCCAGTTCAAAGATGCTCGAAGGGCTCCATAGGATCTAACGTTTTGATCCCGCCATTCAGAGATTCTAGTTTCAAAACCCTTCACATACACTGCTATTTCTGCAAATAGCAACCAATGAGCTCCAGTATGCAAATTAAAGATTCTAGCTCCAGCATTTTGCAAGATCTTGCAAGTACCATGCGAGCTGCAGGTTTTAGCTCTACGTGCGCAACATGCTGCAAGTGCCATACAAATTGCAGATGTTAGCTCGAAAATGCTGCTAGCAAGGAAAACAAACCCCGACCTAGAAAACCAGAAAAATGCACCCATTCTTGAGGCTGGCAAGAATAGTGTCGTCTGAATTATCTCTTCCGTGCCCACGTCCGTGTTTTGAAGCCCAAGTGTCACTGCAAATGCACACATTCAATCATTTACCTGATGGACCCAAGTTTCCAGAAGTTTCCAGAAGTTTCCAGAAGTTTCCACAACCTTCCAGAAGTTTCCAGAAGTCTCCGCGCATCTCCCTCATTCCCGTTGCAAAGCAACTTGCCGCGTTGCATGGGCATTACTGGTGCCAGGTAGTGGGCCAGAACGAGGAGTCCAGAAAAGCATGCGAAACAATGCGAAGCATTGTTTTGCAACACAGAACTCTCGTTTGCTTCAGGATTTTGGCATGATTTCCTTCATTCTGGCGTTCCATACTTCCTGGGCTCAGTCCCCAAGTGTGAATCAAACAACAATTCAATCAATTGTGCCATCGCACAACAATGACAGTTGCACAGATCCCCCGTGTTTGGCACAGTTTCCAAGGCAATTTGCTGGGTAGCGAGTGTGCTGATTTACTACTCCTTGCTGGCGACATATGCTGCAAGGCGCAACTCGTCATGTTGTCGATTGATCGCCCTCGCCACCATTCATTGCCTCTCCCATCCTTTCGTCCAGGACAAAACCCGGAGCCGATCTTCACAGCGCGGTATGCCTTGCATGTTCCAAGATGTTCCAAGTGCCCTCAAGCAACTGGACAAAATGCAGCATTTTCATGGATGGTTTTCAGATGTTGAGGGATGTTGGGGGAACTGCGAACTCAATGTGAAGATGAGAGCTTCGCCGCCTGCCTGGTTCCGGTCAGGTGGCCTACGGTGAAGTTGACGTCCTACGAGATCTGCTGAGACGCTCGCTTCGAGAAATTGTCCGAAGTTTTGCATCATGCTATCGTCTTTAGTGTTTTGAATCTTTGTGCTTTTGTTTCGATTCGAACAGCATCCAGGAAGCTCTGAACTTGTCTTGGACATCTCTCGTGAGAGCCTCAGATTCCGGCTGGTCCAAATCTAAAGGGACATGTGCTTGAATCCCGAAGGCTTTGGACCAGATGGGAAGAATCCATTGCATTTGGCAGCCCGTAGAGGGCAGGAGCGCCAAAACTGATCAGCCGCATTCTGTTTGCTGTGTCTACACTGAGTCTACACCGTACTGTGAGTCTGGCACGCCACAAGCTCCTGAAGCGACTAGTGATTTGTCGTGCAAGAGTGAAGTTGCATGCTGGAGCGTTCAAAACGCAGGTCGAGTGCATGAAGTTGCTGGTCGAGGAGAAGGCAGATCTTCAGGTGCGTTGTGATATTTTGCGGAAAGTACTTTTATACTTTTATACCGTTTTGTACACAAATACAGATACTTATTGGTTATTTTCATTTATTCGCATATAATAAACACATATATATATATTGTATGTAGATACACATGGATTTCCTTGTATCATATGTTTTTTATGTTATGTTTTCTATTTTTAAATTACATGCATTCGTATATATATATATGTATGTTTGCATGTACACATTCACGTGTAATAGTTTTTGCATATGCACACATACATACACATCTTTATATACATATTCATGTATGTACATAGATATTCGTGTATTGATATACATATTCGTGTATTGACATACATATTCAGTCATATTCATATATTTTCATATGCAGTATTATGTATATACTGATACATATATACCGCTACATAGAGAGAATAAAGGATGTATGTTGTTTCTTCAGACATCATATTCAGACTTGGATGTGTTGCTTGAACCTGACAGGCACGGACTGGTAACAAGCAGCAAAATATGGCTCTGCATTTGGCAGCCATGAACAAGGCCTGCATGGATTGCCTACTTGGGTTTTAGCAAGGAAAGAAGAAAGAAAGGAACATTGAACAAACCTCCCCTAACGGGTGATTCCGAACCAGACTTTATTCGAAGGCGCTTGCCAAGAAACGGTTCCGCTCCGCATGCAAACATATTCTGGCAATATGCTTGATCCGACCACTCTGCTGGGGTATTGCGTTATTGAACATCCTGCGACATCATACAAGAAACATCCGGTTCATCGGTTTTAGTCCTTGCTGTGGGAATAGAGGTGACCCTCACCGTGGCAAGTGCATTCTGCTTGATTCACAATAGTATTTAGAATCTATGCGTCCATATGGTACAGGCACAGTATGACAAGTGTTTCAACATCTGACTGTTTTGAGTCATGGGCATATCCCACTCTAGACGAACATTTGAAGATAGCGCACAATCCTTCAGTAGAAGGTGGAGGGCTAGACACTTTCCAGGCTTACTCCAGTCGAATGGCAGACAAAAGAAGGTCAGTCAGAATGAGGGACGGATACAGAAGGAAGAGCTGGCACGCGCACGCAGATACAAGAAGGCCAGGTCATGAATAGGCCAACAAATAGATTTACATGTTGAGACAAGACACTATTTGAGGAATGGATAGATTTCAGTAAGTACCCTCATTGATAGACTAGACTGGAACTAGTTTTTACAGGTAGCCTTTATAGATATGCTTAGATTAAGGAGGTAGGATAGCAAAGGGCAGATGGGTGTACATAGAGAAGGTGGAAGTAGGTATAGGTAGATGTAGCTCGACGTAGCCTCAATTCAAGATGTCCATCGAAATTATCTGGGAATTGGACTAGAAGAAAAGACACACCGATAGGCTATTAACAATACTGAATATCGATCCTGTCTGGAATTCCCTCTCGAGGATCAGACAACCCGGGTTGTCAAAAACCCTATTAGGGGCCTTACTTGGTGCTCTTTTCCTTGA